TTATGAACAGTAATGGCCCCAACACTAAACCTTGAGGAACACCGCTACACACATCATGACCAGATGAAAGTGTGTTGTTGGCACGGACCACATACGTTCTGTTTCGAAGAAAACAAGCAATCCGTTGCAAGAGTTCTCCACGTATTCCAAAATGATCCAACTTGTACAATAGTCTTTCTATAGGCATCATGTCGAACGCTTTCTCGTAATCCAAATAGACAACATCAACCGGCCGTCCCCCATCTACATCTTGGGTCTATTTGTTCAAACATGACAACAAATTTGTAACTATTGATCTCTGTGGTAGGATACCATGTTTTGGTATAACATTGTTCTCCAACAATGTCAAAACATCGATTGTAACACCAATTCATAAGGCTAAATCTTAAGAAAATATAACTCACTATACGCCAATAAGTTTAATCACAAATTTTGTCGTCGGACCTTAGCCAAAGCCACATGGTTTTTGTCCGACAAATGTGATATCGTTAATGTAATATAAAAACAGTTGATTGATTACAAATTTGGTTATTTCCATTTCGAATATTGTAATATGAACCATTGACAACGTCAACAACAGGAATACTACATAAAATCAAGTTTGTATAAAAGCACCTATTTTCTAAGGAGGTGATATCGTTAACATAAATATTAACATCGTTCAAATCAGCTAAAATAATAACAAAATCAGATTCAGTGAAGTCGCTTAAAGAATTATCAATGTTGGACACAACATCTTCAAATCTTGCACACGGTTTACATGTAACTTGCATAGAGAATTCATTCCCAAGAAGACGTAGTAGATGATTAGGAATCCTCTTACCAAAATCATCAGTTAGTACCAGTACCGTACGACGCGGTTTTTGGCTCGCTTTATTATTACCTGATGATACTTCAGTATTTTTTGTACAGGTCTGGGTTTCTTTATCAGCAGAAGTATCTTTTTCTGTGATTGCTCCACGAATCTCCTTTAGTCTGAATAATTCTAGGTTTGCTTTCTTCATTTCATTAACCAAGTACTCATTTTCTCTTGACAGTGTTTCAATACTAGTCCTAAGTAGATTCACTTCATCGAAATTTCCTGACAACTTCAATAATCTAGCCTCCAAATCTTCAATGTTCTCCAATAAACTTGAATTTTTTGCTAGTAGTTGCATCAACTCATTATTCAGTCTTGCTATTTCCTTCTTTTGCTTATCAATTTGATCAACATATAGTTTTTCTACGTCAAAAACGGCGTCTTCGAAATCTTCGGTTCTTCTCTTAAGCCTTGCTATGTAAATATCTTTTCCACCATTCTCATTACTTAGATTATCAATTTTACTTTGAAGATCTTGAATTTTTTCATCTTATTCCATTTCCAATTTGGAAGTGTATAGATCTTTTTTGTAAGACTGAAGTTTTAACTGGTCATTAAGTTCCATAATGTTTTTCATCTCCGGTAGGTGCTTCAGAGAACATTTACAGTCTGTACAATAACATTTACAGTCTGTACAATAAAACAGTAACATTCTGTGAATTAATGTAATTGCATCTATCTCAGTTGTAAAGATTCTAGCACACTCGTTACATCAAATTACATGTGTTACAACTCGAGTTACAAAATCCAAGGGTCGATGTACTAAGGGATGTAAGATAGATTATACCATACCATACAACAATCTAAATCTAAAGTACCTAGGTATATAAATTATTTAGGACCAAAAATTTACAATTTATTAGGTTTAATTTGTCATTAGGGTTAAATGGGTGATAACAGGGTTTTTGTTGATTATTCATTTTGTTACTTTCTTTGTCGTTTTTCTTCTTACAGAAGGAGAAAGAGGTTGTGAAGTGTTCGTGTTCACAAACCGTCTAGGTATTTGTGATGTTTTTTTTTTTTCGATTTTTTGATTCTCTTTAATTGTATAACATATCCATAACATTAAATTAAAAATATTGGGTACATCTCATCTTTTAACACTACGTTCATTACTTCTGGTGAGAAATAATTGGTTCTTATTTCATTAACTGACCTAGTATCTACTGGCAAGCTGGGGAAAATATCCATTGTTTCTGCCGTAAATACTTTGTTGTAGCCTATCTGCATCAGGTTTTATGGTTTTTCCTTCTATTGTATATCCCAGAATATTGATAGATGACATTAAAAATTTACATTTTCCATCGTTTAGTGTTACATTATACTTTCTTGAACCTAATATTCATGAATTTTTGTAAGTTTTTGTCATGTTGTTCTTTTGTTTGACCACAACTTGTAATGTCGTCCAATAATGCATGTGTATCATCGGATAGTCTTTCATTAGGTATGATATTGTTAATTATATGTTGAAAGTAGGCTACTCCATTTATAACGCCAAATGGAATTCTTGTGAATTGATACAAGTTGTGACATACTTCCAAAGCCAGTATAAATTCGCTCACTTTCCAAAGTAGGTATTTGATGGTACGCACTGCGTAAGTCTATGGAACTAAAATATTCATATTATGAAACTTGACTGAAGATTTTATCAATATTAGATAGTGAATATGCATCTAATAAAGTGAACTTGTTGATTCTCAACGAATAATCAACAACCATACTTTTCTTATGAATTGAGTTGCTTGTCACCAAAACTTGTGCTCTCCATTGTGAATTACTTGGTTCAATGATGTTTTCTTTCAATAACCTTTGTATTCCGGTTCCTATAAATTTGTAGTCATCATTAGAAAACCGCCTGGATTTAATAGCAATAGGCTGGCAATTAGACATTCATCCTGATATTTTTGTACACATGATCTGATATTTTTATAATCACAATACAGTATCCACTAACAGGAGAATTTGAAGATGAAGCAGCCATTGTGACATTTAGATTCCTAGGAAACACTTTGATATATCTTTGTGTGGTGATAGTTTTTGAGATATAACTGTCCGAGCTGCCACTATCAATTAGTGCATCAGTTGGAATATGATTAACTCCAATTTTAATAATAGCTTTCGATAAGCAAGATGTTGAGGTAGTTGGCATCATTCCAATCATGGCAGCTGAAGTTTTATTTGAAGTATGAGATTGTTTTTGATGTTTTGATCTACATACTTGTGTAAAATGACCAATCTTTCCACAGGAATGACAGATTGCATCTCTTGCTGAACATATTTCTCTAGAGTGTCCGTTTCTCCCTTAAGAAACACATTTTGAAGTAATTACGGCAAGTGTTGTATCCTTTACTTCATTTGATTGTTGTACAGTGGGAATCATTGCAATTGGCACACACTATATAAATATCCCTCGTAATGTGTCAAATCTGACACACAGTAATAGCAAAATGCTGCACTAAATAGATTTATTGGTTAGAATTTTGACTTAATACTAGGGATTTTAAAGAGTGTGTGCCAATTGCAATGATTCCCACTGTACAGGGTTATTGGTTATAAATGTCACTCCCCTCTATCTTTTTTATTTGACATTTTAGAAAAAAGTGTCCCAAATAAAAGTTTTATGGTTGAAATTAAATTTTCTGAAAAACTCACTTTCGCACATACAGGGTGTTTCAGAAAAGCTGCTCGTGCTCCAAATTTCTTATTTCAAATAGAAAACCCTGTATATTATTGGATATTGGGATTCTACGTAGAATTCTGAGCAGATTTCATGTGATATACCCTAGACCTAAATTCAACTGTTTTCGAAATATTGACAGTTGAAAATTGACTTTTTTGCAACTTTGACAGGCTGTAAATCCTGAACGGTTAATTTTAGACCAAAACCGATCTTACATTTTGATCTTAGATTTTTATAAACTATCAGTTGATACCAGTATTTGACATCAACTTTGAATTTAATCCATGATTTAAAATTCCAATTCAATTTAATCTTCGGTTAAATTCAAAGTTGGTGTCAAATGATACCTTGTGAAAATCTTAGAAAAAAATGTAAGATCGGTTTTGCTCAAAAGTTAACCGTGTAGGTTTTACAGCCTGTCAAATTTGCAAAAAAGTCAATTTTCAACTGTCAATATTTCCAAAACAGTTGAACTTAGGTATAGGGTATATCACATGAAATCTGCTCAGAATTTGACGTAGAATCCGAATATTGAATAATATACAGAGTATTCAAAATAAGAAAGTTAGAGCACGACCAGCTTTTTTGAAACACCCTGTATATAGAAAAGTGAGTTTTTCAAAAAATTCAATTTCAACCATAAATTTTCTATTTGGGACACTTTTTTCTAAAATGTCAAATAAGAAAGATAGAGGGGGTGACATTTATAACAAATAACCCTGTAAATAAGTCGATGATTGATTTGATACAATCGAATTTACATATGAATTTGTGGAATAATATCCTGACTATTGTTGAGCCATTTCTAAAGATCTAGCTGATTTATGTGCATTTTCTAGGTTCAGAGTCGTATTTTGTAAAAGTCTCTGCCTAATGTGAGATGTGGCGAGACCATGAATAAATGAATCTCTTATGTAGTAATTTTTGTTCTGTTTAGCAGTGACTGCTTTAAAATTACAGTCTTTACTTATCTGTATCAAAATTTGTAAGTACTGGTCTATAGATTCACTAACTTGCTGTTTTCTAGTGGCTAAAGTATGACGGGCAAAAAATTCACTTTGTGTTTATATACACATAACTTTTCGAGTATGGCAACTGATTCTATGTAGGAAATACATTCACTAATAAACTGATAAACTGAAGAACATAGTTTACTGGAAGGTTTAATTTGTCCTTGTCTTCTGAAAAATTTTCGCAGCTTCTAAAAAGTTTTCAAACGTTCTTTTCCAATGGATCCATAACTGGCTAGCGTTGCTTGAATGTGTGTCAATTTCTAATCGATCTGGCTTGAGTAATTTGTCCATTGATTAATCTTAGCTCATTAAATTGTAGTAAAATACCTTCAGAATTAAGGCTTTAATATGCTAAAATTCAGTACAGATTATCCTGACAACAAAACATATAACATAACAGTAAATAAGCTAATGAGACGTACAACATTGACAATATATTTTCTTTCAGAAAAAAGATAAACGTTACTGTTTACTCTACAAAAGAAGCAGTAGTGGTGTGGGCCGTTTAGAAACCTACGAAAATGAATCAATGACGGGTCAACCAAAAATTTTTACCTTAGAAGATGTGATTAAAATAACACCAAAACATGGAAACGTAATCAATATAATAACCAAAAACTCAGATATAGACTATGGCACGATGCCAGGCGAAACCTTGGACAATTGGTTTCAGGCCTTTAAAAGCGTAGCTTTCCCAGATGAAACTACATTTTTCAATGGTATCGAACAAGATAATGATTTGTATTGTCCAGCAGAAGAAGGTAACAGTTTTTCATAGTTTTTTACTTATTTATCTAAATTACATTCTTTAGGTGTTTTCCCTGTCAAAGTTCTTGGGTCAGATGCTGCTGAAAGATGTAACTTGGCCAACAAAAGCTTCACTCTTGTAATAACAGCATCAGCACTTCAGCTGCGCAACGAAAAAAAGAAATTATTATACACATGGCCTTTCAGTTACATCCGAAAATATGGCTACAATAAAAGTGGACAGTTTACATTTGAGGCTGGCAGAAAATGTGCTTCAGGCGAAGGATTGTTTTATTTGGAAAATCCCAATCATGAAGATATTTACAAGTAATTTTTTTTTTTAATTTGCTTTATAATTTTTTGTTTTAACTGTAATGAATTTAGGTGTTTATTTGCTAGAATGAAAAGCATGAAAAAGCTCCTCAATGCAGAATCAATGTCATCTTTAATCGATTCTAGTGATATGCTTCAAGTGGCTTCATTTATGGAACCTGGCTCTAGAAACCCTTTACCACCATCAATGTCGACACGAAGTTCCTTCCGTGAATCCACCCAAGCCCTAATTTGTTCCTCGTCTGAAAGTCTTTTTCCATTAAAAACTATCCCTAAAAAACCCCCTAGGAAAACTTTGCCTTTCTGCAAAAATGCGCCAACAGTTAACTTAGATATTGGGACAGAGTATGTCTATTTTCCACAAAAATATGATACTGTTGAAAGTAGGAAAGACGCTTGGAAAACTATGGGTGTTGAAATTCCTCTTCATTCTGAAGCCGTACCACCTGCCGACTCCGAACCAGTTTATTGTTCTTGGGGCGACGCACCCACAACCCCGTTGAGACAAAGTAAAAAAGTGCCAAACAAAAGTATTGAAAATCTGACTGAGAGCATTTACGAAATAGATTTAACAGAAAAAACCACTGCACCTACTGTGATACCAGAAGATTTACAATTGGAAGGCTTAGACGCCAGTTATGACCATTTGAATTTTTTCGGCCAATCTAGCGTTATAACCAGCTCGGACTATAAGCAAGTGATAACCCCTACGTCTGGCAATAAATCGCAACTCGATTTAGATTTGTATGAAGAAGTTAACGTTATGGAAGCCGCAAGGTCTGCCGACGATTCGCATTTAGGATACGCCATGATTAAAAAAAACAACAGCAATAATGCCTACGAAGAATGTGAAAACGATAGGGTAGCGCATCAGTTGAAAAATCAACAACTCTATGCGGTTATTAGTAAACCAAAACGGGTCTAGTCCAATTTTTTTTGCAAATGATGCCATTTTTTATAGTTTTCTGTTAATTTGTGACTGTTGATTTTGAAAATGTTTCTTGCAAAAACGGAATTTTTTTAAAGGATCTGTGATATGAAACTTAAATAATCGAACTTTTGTGTACAGATTTTTATAGGGTTTTTTCCTTGACTTAAAGTAGTTATCACAAATTCTAGTGGTAAATTAATAATATAGTTTTTTTTTTATTTTGCATAAATGTGTTCTTAATGAGAACACTCAGGTGTTTTTGAAATAAATTCAAAAAACTTTTCCGCATTGTGACTGAGCCTTAAATGCTCATCATTGCTTTTAGAAGAAAAAAGCAAAGCGATGAGTCTTTCAACTTTTGTAGCAAAATCCGTCCAATTTGTAGCTTCAAGATTTTTGAAGCTTCATAGATTGTGAGTTTACCATTATTGTTACATTTGAAATTTCCTGCCAAATCAGTTTATATTGTCCTTATTGTATTGTCAGTATTTTTTTTTTAAAGATAATTCTTAGATTATCTTGATTTTTAAGACTAAATTTTAAACCAATAATTATTATTCCTTAGTTTTTAGTTGATTATTATTATTATTATTATTATAATACCAGGCCTACATCACTTTTTGTTTGTGTAAATCTTGTAAAGTCTGTCGATTTTAATCTGATACTCCAAATTAGGAATGTGAGCTGGTGACTCCCTACATTAGAACGCCAATGGTCACCTGACGTCACACCTGTTTTTTCACTCCCTCGCTCCTCATACGGAAAATGTCAGTTTAAAAACGACGGACAATATGTATTATTGTGCTGCCATATATTTTGTTAATTTAATAATTGTGACGGGAGTTCGCACAAGTATTGCCATTTTTGTATAATTTTATTTTTGAAAAATGTGCGAATTTTTGAGTATTAAGTATTTTCATGTGTTAAAAAATAAATAATTTTCGCTTCCATGTATGTATTTGATTTAATTTGTTAAAAATGTATTGCTTTTCAGAGGAGTCCAACTCCTCTATTAAGATATTTTCTTCATAAAAAAAAATAGAGCGTGCCTGAATGTCATTTTTTGGAAATTTGATTTTTTCAAAATGACATTGATAAACATTTTGCCTCATAACTTTGTTAATTTCAGTCCGATCTTGACGTAATTAGGCTTGAATTAAAGCCAATTAAATCCTCTACAAATGCCTAATGAATCATTTCAATGCAGCTTAAATAATTTCGAAGCTACGACGGTTCGAAGTCTTTGGTGTTTGATACCTATGGAGGTAAATGAGCAGAAGAAATTTTTTAAATTTCAATCTTTTTTCTATCCACTTGCAAAATTTCAATTCAATCCTTCAGAGATTTTCTTCAAAAATAAACAAAACGTGCCTCAATGTCATTTTTTGGAAATTTGATTTTCTCAAAATGACATTGATACACATTTTGCCTCATAGCGTTGTTAATTTCAATCCGATCTTAACGTAATTAGGCTTGAATAAAATCCAATTAAATCCTCTACAAATGTCTAATAGATCATTTCACTGCAGCTTCAATAGTTTCGAAGCTGCGGAACCTCAATGTCATATGTCATTTTTTGGAAAGCCGATTTTTCTCAAAATGACATCGATACCCATTTTACTTCACAGCTTTGTTAATTTCAATCCGATCTCATCGTTATTGGACTTGATATAAAGCCAATTAAATCCTCTTCAAATAACTAATGAATAATTTTAATGCAGTTTCAATGGTTTCGCAGCTGCAAAACTTCAAAGTCTTCAGACTTTGATTTCCATGAAACTCATTGAGCAGAAAGAAATTATGTATATTGCATCGACACACATTTTGCCTCATAACTTTGTTAATTTAAATCCGATTTCAACCTAATTAGGCTCGAATTGAAGCCAAATACATTTTCTATAAATATATAACTATAAGCTAGTTTTAATGTAGATCCGATAGATGTAAAATCCCAAGAGATCCAAGTAAATTTGTTGATATTCGAAGAATATCCCAGGAAATTGTTACAAATTGAAGAGAGCATCTCTCAAAGTGGAGTTGAAATTTAATTCCAAAAGATTAGCACGAAGTCTTCCTCCATAGATATTAGCCCTACATGTTTCGAGATCATATATAGGGGAAAGTGGGTAACATTGAGACAAGGGTAACAGTGAGATATTCAAAATATTAGCTATTTCTATACTTTTTAAAGAGGTGTCGCCGCAATAAGACATTAATGATGTCTTAAGAGGAGTATCGGTTCTATTTTCAACCATCTTCCATTTTTAGTTTGGTCTGCAACGCGGAAGGGGGTACAACCTTCCGGTTATTTTTTTTTGTCAACGAACTTTTTCGGCGAAATTTGAAAAAACCGTGATTTTTTCTATTACGCATAGTCTTTAAGTGATATAAGGGAACCTTTCTGCTGTTAATTGGATTTATTAAAACTAAATTAAAATCAAAGGGGGACTAAAAAATGGCATTTTATTTTTCAAAGTAACTTGGGTATGAATGAGACATGTTTAGATGGGTAACACTGAGACTATGTAGTTCTAGTAGAATTTCCAACTGAAACATTAAAGGAAAAAAATCTCACATAGGAAAATTGTTATCAGAAATCGATAGCGATAACAAAAATGATTATAAATTACCATTTTTAAGGAAAAGTGATAAAAAGGAGGGATTTTTGTTTCCCCAAATGTCCAGATTTTAGAGATATTGCCACTGTTTCTAAAAGAGATATTAAGATGATTTTGCCAAAACTAGTGAATTACAGAAAGACTGAAATCGATCCTACCATGGCTTTGAAACTTTGTCTGGGTCATTTGTAGAAGTTTGTTTCAGTTTATTCAAGTAATTATTTCTCATTTGATATAGTGTCTCATTGAACCCCCTGCATGGGTATCAATGAGACAAATGTCATGATAACTGTTTATGTCAAATATTGTTTTTGTAAGTGACTATAGAATCAAAAACATAATAAATTTCTAACTTAGATTTATTCTTGAGTGTTACTGAAAAAAAAAATATCCATATTTTAAACGTTTCTGGTAAAATATTTTCATTAGAAAAAAAAGTGTCTCAGTGTTACCCAGTTTCCCCTACTCATCATCAGGGCCCAGGGGCAAATTAGCTCCTACGTTACAAAAAAGCATCAAAATGCAAAGTTATTCCTCTTTAATTTATTCAAGTATTTATGGAGGATGACTTTTGTCTTTCTTTTGAAATTAAATTATTAATTGCGTTCCAACAAAGGCAGAGAGAATATCTGAAGATATCTGGAGCTGAAGAAACTTCGAACAAGATGCGAATATTGCTGAGACTTTCCAAAAAGATTAAAGGAGATTCAACAAGATTTTTGAATACTTTTTGAAACATTATTTTTTATGCCAGGCAAGGTTTTAGGATATCCAAAGATATTAGGAAATTTCCCAGAGATCCAAGTAAAAAAACAATGTTCTCATCATAAACGCAACTAGGCTCCAAATTTAAGGAGTGCTGCAGCACCATTTTTTTTGAAGGGGTTTGATGGAAAGGAAATGAGACGCGTAAAAAAAAGTTAAGTGTCACGAGGGTTTGTACTTACGTCATCATTTTTGCCTTTTTTTTTTTGAAAAATAAGTTTTTTTATGTCCGATTGACCAATAAAGTGCTATTTATAGAACAGTTTTGCGTCAATAAAGTAGCACTTTATTGTACTAGTAAAATAAAGTGCTACTTTATTTTACTAGTAAAATAAAGTGCTACTTTATTGCCTACCTGGACAACCTAACAAGGTGAAACAGGTCCTGACAACTTGCCAAGGTGAAACAGGTCCTGACAACCTGCCAAGGTGAAACAGATATACCTACGCGAATTTTACTTTTTTCATTAAATTTTTTTAATTTTTAACAAAAATCAGTCGCAATCGTACATAAAATCATGTATATAACGCTTACATAAACAGGCTTTATTGACTCATTATTTAATAGCCTCGCTCGCAAGCTCGCTCGGCCATAAAATTATTCGTACAATAAAGCCTTACTTTATGTACTTGTTATATAAATAGCTATTATGTCTGAAATTTCAAACAAACAGTTCGTTGCACGGCACGAAGGTTTTTGCTTTCGTCATAACTTCGAGAAAAAGTTAAGTTATAGATAAATTCATAGAGCACCTTCGGAATTATTGTTCTGTAATACATTTTTTAAATTAGAATAGAGTTTATTCAGTTATCCGAAAATATATAAATACATTTCTCCTGGAGTGATTTTTCACTGAAAAATTTTGAAATTTTCCTCTAATGAGCTCCTCATTTTCCTCTTTCTCCTATAAAAATTTCAATTTTCCCGGTGAAAGTTTTCCAGAAAAAAAAAATGTAAGAGTGATTTTTCCTTAATTTTGCCTAAATAAGTCAATTTTCTTTGAATTTTTCCTGGAGTGATTTTTCACTGGAAAATTTCGAAATTTCCCTATAATGAACTCCTCACTTTTCTCTTTTTCCTGGAAAATGTTCAAAATTTTCCCTTTGAGAGTTTTCCAAAAAAAAATTTTAAATGTGAAAGGGTGAATTTTCCTTAATTTTGCTTAAATAACTCAATTTTCCAGAATTTTTTCTGGAGTCATTTTTCACTAGAAAATTTTGAAATTTTCTCATATTGAGTTCCTCACTTTCCTCTTTCTTCTGGAAACATTCCACAATTTTTGCTTTACTAGTTTTCCAGAAAAAAATTGAAATGTGAATGGATGAATTTTGCTTGAAAAAGTCAATATTCTAGAACTTTCCTCTCGACTTTCCTTGGAGTGAATTTTCAATAGTAATATATAACTAGTGCAATGGAAATTATTGATAATTTTTGGGAAATTTGCTCGAATGCATTTTTAGTTGAAAAAGAGCACGAGTGCACGAGTGCCTTTTTCAGTTAAAAACGCATGAGTGCAAATTTGTCGAAAATTATAAATATATTTCCATTGCATGAGTTGTATTTAATGAGAGAATTTCATAAATCAAAAATTTTAATTTTTTGTCAAAAAATGTCAAAACACCAGTTTTTGCACCAGTTAGTATGCAATTATCTGATAATTTGCACTAGTGCAAATTATCGCGTAATTACAATCTGATTGGTTCAAATCAACAATCAAAACATGTCAATTTATTGTTGAATACCAGTTTTGACTGATGTATAAAATTCTCACTAGAAAATTTCGAAATTTTCCTATAATGATCTCCTCATTTTCTTCTTTCTCCTGGAAAAATTTCACAAGTTTTGCTTTATTAGTTTTCCAGAAATAAATTGAAATATGAGAGGATGAGTTTTTCTTAATTTTGCTTGGAAAAGTCATTTTTTCAGTATTTTTCCTGGAGCGATTTTCCATTGGGAAATTTTGAAATTTTCTTATAATGAGCTCCTGACTTTCCTCTTTTGCCAGTTTTCCAGAAAAAAATTGAAATGTGAGAGGATGAATTTTCCTTAATTTTACTTGAAAAAGTCAATTTTCCAGAATTTTCCCTGGAGTGATTTCTCACTGAAAAATTTCAAAATTTCCCTATAATAAGCTTTTCACTTTCCTCTTCTTCCTGGAAAATTTCCAAAGTTTCCCCTCTGCCAGTTCTCCAGAAAAAAATTAAAATGTAAGAGGGTGAATTTTCTTTAATTTTGCTTAAATAAGTCAATTTCCCAAAATTTTTTATGGATCGATTTTTCATTGGAAAATTTTAAAATTTTGCTATAATGAGCTCTTTACTTTCCTCTTTTTCCTGCAAAATTTTCACAATTTTCCTTCTGCCAGTTTCCCAGAAAAAAATTAAAATGTAAGAGGGTGAATTACTGAATTTTGCCTAAAAAAGTCAATTTCCTGGAGTGATTTTCCACTGGAAATTTCCCTTGTGCAAATTTAACTGGAAATTTACCTCGTAATTTTCAAAAATTGATAGGTGGAAATATCCCTGGTGAGAGGGATATTTCCGGGTGCAATTTCCAATGCGACAATGCCGCGCGGCGTCCGTCGGAAACCCACCTTTAGGTTGTCATTTTTGGCATTGAGACCAGCTTTTCCATTTAAAACGCATTGATGTCAGAAATCTGTCAAAGTGTATATTTTTTGACAAACGCAATTTAAATGGGAAAGATCAATAACAATCACCATCACAGAACACATCATCATAATTAAAATATTCGCCACAACTTATAATAAATAAACTTCAAACTCGGGAAATTTCCAGTAGAAATATAACTAGTGCATAAAATATTTCCGGAAATTTTTGAAAATTTTGTCTGAAGCCAATTTTTTGACAAAATCATGAGTGCATAGCGCCTGAAAAAATCCCGAACCCGAAGGGTGAGGGATTTTTTCTTTGGCGCTATGCACGAATGGTTTTGTTTAAAAAAATTGACTAAAGACCAAATTTTTAAAAATTTCCCTTAGGAAATATTTTATGCACTAGTTATATTTCTACTGGAAATTTCCCTTGTGCATATTTAACTGGAAATTTACCTCGTAATTTTCAAAAATTGACAAGTGGAAATATCCCTGGTGAGAGGGATATTTCCGGGTGCAATTTCCAATGCGACAATGCCGCGCGGCGTCTGTCGGAAACCCACCTTTAGGTTGTCATTTTTGGCATTGAGACCAACTTTTCCATTTAAAATGCATTGATGTCAGAAATCTGACAAAGTGTATATTTTTTGACAAACGCAATTTAAATGGGAAATATCAATAACAATCACCATCACAGAACACATCATCATAATTAAAATATTCGCCACAACTTATAATAAATAAACTTGAAACTCGGGAAATTTTCCTATCAAAATATAACACGTGCATAAAATATTTCCTAAGGGAAATTTTTAAAAATTTGGTCTTTAGTCAATTTTTTTAAACAAAACCATTCGTGCATAGCTCCAAAGAAAAAATCCCTCACCCTTCGGGTTCGGGATTTTTTCAGGCGCTATGCACTCATGATTTTGTCAAAAAATTGGCTTCAGACAAAATTTTCAAAAATTTCCGGAAATATTTTATGCACTAGTTATATTTCTACTGGAAAATTTTGAAATTTTCCTATAATGAGCTTCTTACTTTTCTCTTTCTTCTGAAAAAACTTCATAACTTTCCCTTTGCCAGATTTCTAGAAACAAATTAAAATGTAAGAGGGTGAATTCTCCTTAATTTTGCTTAAAAAAGTTAGTTTTTCAAAATTTTTCCTGGAATGATTTTTTACTGGAAAATTTTGAAATTTTCGTAAAATGAGCGCCTCATTTTCCTCTTATTCCTGGAAAATTTTCAAAATTTTCCCTTTGCCAGTTTTCCAGAAAAAAATTAAAATGTAAGAGGGTTAATTTTTCTTAATTTTACTTGAAAAAGTCAATTGTTTAGAAATTTTCCTGGAGTGATTTTTCACTGGAAAATTTTGAAATTTTCCTATAATGAGCTACTCATTTTCCTTTTTCTTTTGGAAAAATTTCATAATTTTTGCTTTGCCAGAGTTTTCCAGAAAAAAATTGAAATGTGAATGGATGGATTTTGCTTGAAAAAGTCAATTTTCCAGAACTATCCTCTCGACTTTCCTTGGAGTGATTTTCCACTAGAAAATTTTGAAATTTTCCTATAATGAACTCCTCATTTCCTTCTTTCTCTTGGAAAAATTTCACAAGTTTTGCTTTATTTGTTTTCCAGAAATAAATTGAAATGTGAGAGGATGAGTTTTTTTTTAAATTTTACTTGAAAAAGTCATTTTTTCAGAATTTTTCCTGGAGCGAGTTTCCATTTCCATTGGAAAATTTTGAAATTTTCTTATAATGAGCTCCTGACTTTTCTTTTTTTCCTCTTTTGCCACATTTCCAGGAAAAAATTGAAATATGAGAGGATGAATTTTCCTTAATTTTACTTGAAAAAGTCAATTTTCCAGAATTTTCCCTGGATTGATTTTTCTCTGGAAAATTTTGAAATTTTCCTATAATGAGCTCCTCATTTTCCTCTTATTCCTGGAAAATTTTAAAAATTTTCCCTTTGCCAGTTTTCCAGAAAAAAATTAAAATGTAAGAGGGTTAATTTTCCTTAATTTTACTTGAAAAAGGCAATTTTTCAAAATATTTCCTGGAGTGATTTTCACTGGAAAATTTTGAAATCTTCCTATATTGAGCTCCTCATTTTCTTTTTTCTTTTGAAAAAATTTTACAATTTTTGCTTTGCCAGTTTTCCAGTAAAAAAATTAAATTTGAAAGGATGAATTTTGCTTAAAAGAGTCAATTTTCCAGAATTTTCCTCTCGACTTTCCTTGGAGTGATTTTTCACTAGAAAATTTTGAAATTTTCCTATAATGAGCTCCCCATTTCCTTTCTTTCTCCTGGAAAAATTTCACAAGTTTTGCTCTATTAGTTTTCCAGTAAAAAATTGAAACGTGAGAGGATGAGTTTTTTTTTAATTTTACTTGAAAAAGTAATTTTTTCAGAATTTTTCCTGGAGCGATTTTCCATTGGAAAATTTTGAAATTTTCTTATAACGAGCTCCTGACTTTTCTTTTTTTCCTCTTTTGCCAGTTTTCCTGAAAAAAATTGAAATATGAAAGGATGAATTTTCCTTAATTTTACTTGAATAAGTCAATTTTCCAGAATTTTCCCTGGAGTGATTTCTCTCTGGAAAATTTCGAAATTTCCCTATAATGAGCTCCTCGCTTTCCTCTTTTTCTTGGAAAATTTTCAAAATTTTTCCTCTGCCAGTTTTCCAGAAAAAAATTAAAATGTAAGAGGGTTAATTTTCCTTAATTTTACTTGAAAAAGTCAATTTTTCAGAATTTTTCCTGGAGTAATTTTTCACTGGAAAATTTTGAAATTTTCCTATAATGGAGCTCCTCATTTTCCTTTTTCTTTTGGAAAAATTTGACAATTTTTGCTTTGCCAGTTTTCCAGAAAAAAATTGAAATGTGAAAGGATGAATTTTGCTTAAAAAAGTCAATTTTCCAGAACTTTCCTCTCGACTTTCCTTTCACTAGAAAATTTTGAAATTTTCCTATAATGAGCTCCTCATTTCCTTCTTTCTCCTGGAAAAATTTCACAAGTTTTTCTTTATTAGTTTTCCAGAAATAAATTGAAATGTGAGAGGATGAGTTATTTTTTAAATTTTACTTGAAAAGTCATTTTTTCAGAATTTTTCCTGGAGCGATTTTCCATTGGAAAATTTTGATATTTTCTTATAATGAGCTGTTGACTTTTCTAAGAGGTAAAGAGGGTGAATTTTCCCTAATTTTGCTTAAGTAAGTCAATTTTTTAGAACATATTTGAGATTTCAGTTATAAAAAAAAAACAAAGAATCACCCTTGCCGTTTGTACATGATATTTAGGAACATCCTGTATAATACGCAGTAAATTAATTTATATATTTGGGACTCCAATGATTTTTTAAGGGCCGGTATTTCAATGGCACCTTAAGATTTTTAGGGTAAGTCTGGATTTTAAGGTAATATTGTGATACCAGCCCCGGTTGAAAAATTTTGTTCGATAACAAATTGCGAACGTGTTCTATGAATCAATTAACGACAAATACTTTTTTCTAAATTATGACGTCATCGATGACGTAAGTAAGTACAAAAAGTGAAAAAAAAAATAATTTGGTTGCACTAATTTTTTATGCTAGTGTCTATGATTAATTAGTGTTAGGTATAGTGCCACTGTAGGTAGTGCTATGGTGGGATGCCGAATGGGAGTGCTAATTTTTGCTTTAGGGGTGCTTAGCACCCCTCTAGTTGCGCCTATGGTTCTCATTAATTGTTTCAAAAGACTATCAAAAGAGTTGCAACTAACTGAAAAAACCACTTTCATTTATAAGTTGTATGTGGGTCCTTGCTTTACTCAAGAAAATCAACAAGCGAACTCAAAAATACATTTGAATTAAGTAGGTCTCTTAATTTTTTTCTATAAAGATAAGCTTTTGTTAATTTTTCCTTAGTTTTTCCATCTCTTTCTCCATCAATTGGTATTCTGCAGTGGTTTGGGTCAACTAAAAAAATACAAATAAACTTCAAACAATTTAAAACAAACGCCCTCTGTTACCATATCCATAACAAGTTCGCATTTGATCCGCAACAAATTATTTTCCTCCTGCAACTCTTGGTTTTTTCGCTTGAGTATCTGGTTGGATTTGTGCAAGGAACTCCGTTTGCCGGCACCTAAAGAAACCTAGTATTAAAAATACTGAGTAGTTTCACTGTTGAGGCTTACTCGGTACCCACTGGCCCTCCTGGAAAACTAACTCCTGCCCTCCGAGATGGATTTTGATTGATCTTTGTTCACCTACCAGATCGTCGAGTAATTTATCTGAGTTGATGTTTACATTGCTTTTTCTTAAAGGGGTCTTTTTGGGTGAGAATTTGTTACCGAAAAGAGGCATCTTAATTTTTGATGGCCAAGTGTTTGTATTGTCACTATAGTGCCTAGCAACGAACTTGTGATTACTCACAAGAGGGATAAAAGTTTGCTTGTAGTCTTAAAGCAGTTTTGCCTATAAATGTCCTCTCATATAGGTACCGATTTGTTCTCAATTTTTCTTGAATTGCTTCTGTCTATTTCTCATCTTCTAAATTTCTCTAAATAGAGAAAATTTAGGAGCTTTTCACTTATCTACAAATTTTCTTTTACATTTCTGCTCTCTATTTCTCAATTTTTGTTTATTTCCGGCTCTTGAATTTGTCGAAATAAAGAAAATTCAAGAGCCTGGAATAGAAAAAACATTAATGTTTTTCAGGTTTCTTGTAAGTGGTTCGATGTCGGCCCTTCTACAGCGATCTGCGGTCTATTATGGCTCACTCTGAGTTTAAATTTCCCCCATCAGTTCAATCCTTCTCATGAAGGTGGAGATTAATGTGTGGGGAAAGCAGGTCCAGTCCAGTACAGCAGATTAAAAAGACAGTAGGATCTGCTGTGTTCATGCCCCATTAACAATTAATAGCTTTGTTCCAACCCAGCAGAAAACCGTAATATTACCGTCAGGATTCTGCGCAAAACTTAAAATTTTTGTGTAGAAAACGAAATTCGTATACAGAGTGGTTCCGAAACTGTTCTGGGATGGTTTTTTGACTTAATAATTTCTGTAAATCGATTAAAAAAACCAATATCCATATATTTACAAATTTATTTTCAAGCTTATATAAAAAAATCAAGTGCACTTATACACAATAAATCCTTATTCTATAAATTTATTTCACAACAACCGATGTCACAACTAATCCAGGTGCGTTAAAAGGCACTTAAAATGATTATCATCAAATTCAGCTTAATTCTATTAACATTAAGAATATTAATTAATCAATATATTTTTAATTGTATAGACTTCACTTTGAGTCTTTTAAAGGCACGCAAAAGACACATTATTATTAAAAAAAATAGTCTGTTGAAAATGACGTGACAGTAGCTAATTAATTATGTATAGGGTATTTAAAGACAAAAAAAAACTTTTAATGGATTATAAAATAAATTGATCACGGCATAATAAAAGACAATTTCACTTTTATAGATATTCACTCTGGCTAAATACAACACAAAAATTTATATAAAAATCACATAAAATCGATTGCTATACTGATTTTAAGCTGGCATTATTATAGAAAGAAACATTTTTGTGCAAAATCACAGACACTTTTTTATTGAACATAAAACTATCTACTTTTATTGTCAAAATTGTTTTTAAAAATCAACATAAGGTGATCTAGAATTTATTTTATAAATAAAAGTAACAGTAGCTTGAAACCAGATTTCAATGTTTTATAATCATATAGTTAGTAGTTGCTATGTATGTACAAAGTTTAAAAAATATATTCATCATTTTCCCACAAGTATTTTGTATAGTTTCACAACAATTTATAATACTTAAACAGTGTCCAAAGAGAACGCACACCGATTTAATAATTGTTTCAATAATTAGTTCTGTTTCTGCAGCAATCACAAACCAGTCAGAGCGAATTTCATTGTTTGGAAACAGTCAGAGAACTAGTTTCAACCAATAAAATTCCCTCCGACTGGTTTGTGATTTCTGCAGAAACAAACCTATTATCAGACAGAATTAAAATTAAGAAATGCTTGTTCTTTTAAAACGGATGAGCATATTGGGAATTCCAGTCTCTTTCGAATACTGCTTGCAGCTCACTCCTGATAGTCGTAAAACTGGCATTTCGTTCAAATACAGGATCATGCAAAACGAACGAAACCCCTCCGGTGTCAGTGAAATAATCTCCTGACCAATTGGAAGTACCTATAAAAGCTGTATTATCTGTTACCATGTACTTGTTATGGTTGACACGGGCAAAAGGAATTTTTCTTTGCTCCTTATTGGCTGGCACAATAAAACGACGCTGAGAATGAAAAAAAAAAAAAAACAGTTAATACTAAACCAATTATAATTATTCGTCTACTTACAATTTCAAGCGAAACTCCCGGATAAGAATTATTAATGTCGGCAATACTTTTCAAAAAATAATCCTCAGCCGGTCTGGAATGATTCCACTTGCTAATCAACAACTTTACTTTGACTCTGTGCTCTATCGCGGCCGTCTTGAGTGCGTCATCGATTACCGGCCAATAAACACGCTTCGGGGTGTAGATCATCAATGGAAAATAATCCATCACTGCTATGTAAATAAACTTCTCTGCGTGTTTGATTACGTTTAATAGGGCGTCAATGTCGTTGGTTCTACCTTTCGGGTTGAACGGAAGAGGCGAACTCTGTAAAGTAAACAGATTTTTTTTTTTATAGATATTTGATAGGGTTTTAGGGAGTATTAGAGAGTGCTATGCATGGAAAACTTTCCATTCTAGTTTGTTATTCTGGCCAATCAATTTTATCAATTCAATACCTATAACAAATAATTACTATTGGGTAATCACTGAATTAGTGAATAGACAGAAAAATAGGGACAAACTTTGAAAGAAAGTGTCACTCTGTTAGTATGAATCTAATCCTATGTACAGTTTTTGAATATTGGTCATCTGATTATAAAATTTTGTATATTTTCGTATAATTCTCCATTCATAGGTCGATCGAGTGTACGCCACTGGTGTCACCCTGTTTCTGACCACCCTCTGAACCTTCTCCATTTGTATGAATTAAATCCCATGTAGAGTTTTCGAATAATTGTCATCTGATGATATAATTCTGAATATTTTCATATAGATCTCTATTCGTAGGTCGATTGAGTGTACGCCACTGGTGTCACTACTGTCACTCTGTTTCTAACAACCCGCTTAACCTTTCCCATCAGTATCATTAGTATGAATCTAATCCCATATATAGTATTTTTTATACCTATTTAGAAGTACCAGTTATTCTAGTAGTGACAAAACGTATGTCGCTTCTTGACACACAAATAAAATTAGGTTCCGTTATGTATCCGGAATTTCCTATTTGTACATGGAATTGACGTAGGTACTAGCAATCGACGTTCGTTTTTGTTGGTAATTTTTTGTTTCATCTGATTCGTGATTGATAAATAAGGATGGGGATATTCTAAATGGGTATTACAAATACTATACAGTTTCTGAATAATTGCGTCATCTGATTATACAGGGTGTCCCTCCAGGAACCACATCGATCTATATATGAAAAACTGAATGCAGAAAATTTTTGAAAATGTGACAGTATACTAATGTCAATTGGGGAAATTCGGCTAAAATATTTTCAAGATGGTGGCACTTCCGGTTATACTAGAAGTAGACGTCAACTTACTTATTTTAAATGTGGGGCACGAAAAACTTCTCACCCAGGTTTTCTCAGGTGTTAGGTGATTAATATAAAATCGCTCGGACACGTCATTTTTTGTTATTTGGGGGACATCTTTTATTGGTATTTTCACCCCCCCCCCCTCTGTCAACCCCTAAGCGGGGGTGACAGGTATCCCCAAAATTTCAATAGGAAAGAGGGGTCGAGTGATAGGTACGCCATTTAATAGCTATTTTTATTAAGATCATATTCCCAAAGTTTAAAGTTGCTACTGTTTACCCTGTCAAAATGACGGCTTATCAAAGTTGTGTGTTTTTTACCTTATGATAATAAAACAACAGATTTTTCAAGTGAATAAACACGAACATATTATGTTGTTTTACCTACCTTTGTCAATTGTTATATTTTTTCTTAATGGGGTTATCCCGTAATAAATAAATAAAAAAAAAAAAAAAACATAGGCGCAACTAGGGGGGTGCTAAGCACCCCTAAAGCAAAAATTAGCATTCCCATTCGGCATCCTACCATAGCACTACCTAAACTAGTGGCACTACCTAACACTAATGCAAAATTAAAAAAAATCACCCTCTTACATTTTAATTTTTTCCTGGAAAACTTGCAAAGGGAAAATCTTGAAAATTTTCCAGGAATAAGAGGAAAATGAGGAGCTCATTTTACAAAAATTTCAAAATTTTCCAGTAAAAAATCACTCCAGGAAAAATTTTGAAAAACTAACTTTTTTAAGCAAAATTAAGGAGAATTCACCCTCTCTTACTTTTTAATTTTTTTCTAGAGATCTGGCAAAGGGAAAATTGTGAAATTTTTCCAGAAAAAAGAGAAAAGTGAGGAGCTCATTATAGGAAAATTTCAAAATTTTCCAGTGGAACATCACTCCAGGAAAAATTCTGGGAAATTGACTTTTTTAGGCAAAATTCACCCTCTAACATTTTAGTTTTTTTCTGGGAAACTGGTAAAAGGAAAATTGTAAAAAAATTCCAGAAAAAAGAGGACAGTAAAGAGCTCATTATCGCAAAATTTTGAAATTTTCAAATGAAAAATCACTTCATAAAAAATTCTGAAAAATTGACTTATTTGAGCAAAATTAAGGAAAATTCACTCTATTACATTATAATTTTTTTCTGGAAAACTGGCAGGGGGAAAATTTTGAAAATTTTCCAAGAAAAAGAGGAAAGTGAGGAGCTTGTTATAGGGAAATTTTGAAATTTTCCAGTGAGAAATCACTCCAGGGAAAATTCTGGAAAATTTACTTTCTAATGTAAAATTATGGAAAATTCATCCTCTAACATTTAAATTTTTTTCTGGAAAACTTGCAAAAGATGAAAGTCAGGAGCTCATTATAAGAAAGTTCCAAAATTTTCCAATGGAAAATCGCTTCAGGAAAAATTCTGAAAAAATGACTTTTTCAAGTATGTATAAATAAGAAAAACTCATCCTCTCACATTTCAATTTATTTATGAAAAACTAATAAAGCAAAACTTGTGAAATTTTTCCAGGAGAAAGAAGTAAATATGAGGAGTTCATTATAGGAGAATTTCAAAATTTTCTAGTGAAAAATCACTCCAAGGAGAGTTGAGAGGAAAGTTCTGGAAAATTGACTTTTTTAAGCAAAATTTATCCTTTCACACTTCATTTTTTTTCTGGTAAACTGGCGAAGCAAAAATTGTGGAATTTTTCCAGAAGAAAGAGGAAAGTGAGGAACTTAATATAAGAAAATTTCAAAATTTTCTAGTGAAAAATGACTCCAGAAAAAATTCTCGAAAATTGAGTTATTTGAGCAAATTCACTCTTTCACATTAAATTTTTTTTTTGGAAAACTGGCAAAGGGAAAATTTTGAACATTTTCCAGGAAAAAGAGAAAAGTGAGGAGCTCATTATAGGGAAATTTCGAAATTTTCCAGTGAAAAATCACTCCAGGAAAAATTCAAAGAAAATTGACTTATTTAGGCAAAATTAAGGAAAATTCACCCTCTTACATTTTTAAATTTTTTCAGGAAAATTGGCAACAGGAAAATTTTTAAATTTTTACAGGAGAAAGAGGAAAGTGAGGAGCTCATTAGAAGAAAATTTCAAATATTTTCCAGTGAAAAATCTCTCCAGGAGTAATTTATTTACATATTCTCGGATAAGTGAATAAACTCTATTCTAAGTTAAAAAATGTATTACAAAACAATAATTCCGAAGGTGCTCTATGAATTAATCTATAACTTAATTTTTCCTCTAAGTTATGACGTCATCGATGAGGAAAGTAAAAACCTTCGTGCCGTGCAACAAACTATACAGGGTGTATATTTTAAGTGATACCACTATTGCTATATCCGAAACGGTAAGAGCTACAAGGCCGGTTAAATTAGAAAAAAGTTGCCTTTTTTGATGCCCATTCAAGACTCGTTTACAGTGTTGCCAAATTCTTTTTAGTTTATGAAATACAGGGTGATTTCTAAGAAACGCCCGAAACTATTTCATCAATTATTTTGAGAACTATTGATTTTCGAGACACAATTTAAATTTGAAAGTTTTTTAATTTTTTTCGCTCTACAACATGGTGTCATCAAATTTCAAATCCGATGTTTCGTAATCGAGCTACCATCATCAACTTCATTTTTTTAAATACGGACCTGGATTTTTTATATCATTTTTAGAAAGTGCCTTCTGTGCCCCTTTGTAAAAATGGCATAAAAAGACAAGGTCCGTATTAAAAAAATGAAGTTGATGATGGAAGCTCGATCACGAAACGTCGGATTTAAAATTTGAAGATGCCATGTTGTAGAGCGAAAAAAATTATAAAACTTTCAAATTTAAATTGTGTCTCGAATATCAATAGTTTTCGAAATAGTTGATGAAATAGTTTTTGGCGTTTTTAAGAAATCACCCTGTATTTCATAAACTAAAAGGAATTTGACAACACTGTAAACAAGTTTTGAATGGGCATCAAAAAAGGCAACTTTTCTCTAATTTAACCGACCTTGTAGCTCTTACCGTTTCGGATATAGTAATAGTGATATCACTTAAAATATACACCCTGTATATATGTTTGTTTGAAATTTCAGACATAAAAAAACCTAATTTTCAAAAAAAAGGCAAATGATGACGTAAGTACAAACCCTCGTGAAACTAACTTTTTTTTTACGCGCCTCATTTCCTTTCCATTAAACCCCATCAAAAAAATAAAATAAATGGTGCTGTAGCACCACTCAAATTTGGAGCCCATAGTTGCGCCTATGAACACGAACCATGTCAAGGTGAACTGTTGACTGTCAATACTTTAATGAAATACCAATGGTATTTCATTATTATGCAAGCTTTCCCTTACAAAAAACTCAATAATTTATGAAAGTGTGAAAATGTTTAACCATCTTCCTCAAGACATTAAGGATAGGGACTGCTATGGGAGTTTCCGTATGTCTGTAAAAAACTACCTGGTCGCCAAGGCATATTATGGTCTTACTGAATTTTATGAAGATTGAATGGGATAGCTATAGTGTTATATACATACTTTATAAATAATGTCAGTTAATTTAAATGTTGTAACGTGTTTTAGACTGTCAAACTGTTCTTGTCTTGTGTTTGTTCGGTTTGAATTATTGGATATTGTATTAATTTTAAGTATTAATTATAAGATATTCCTTTTTGCTTTGTCAATGAAATTGTGAAATTTTTGGGCAATAAAGCTTATTTGAAATTGAAATGGATAGATACCCTCAAAAAATCTGTTGTTTTGTTATTATGTGGTAAAAACTACACAGTTCAGATACTCGGAAAAAAGCATTTTTCCTAACTTTGACAAGCCACCATTTCGGCAGGGTAAATGAAAGCAACTTAAAACTTGGGGATATAATCTTAATGAAAATATCTACCAAATGACGTATCACTGGGCCCCCCTTTCTTATTAAAATTTTGGGGATATCTGTCACCCCCGCTTAGGGGTTGACAGGTAGTGGGCAAAAATACCAAAAAAATTTGTCCCCTAAAAAACAAAAATTGATGTGTCCGAGTGATTTTTGATTAAACACCTAACACCTGAGAAAACCTGGGTGGGAAGTTTTTCGTGCCCCACCCTGTATGATTGCATATTTGGATTCTACGTAAAATTCTGAGCAGATTTCATTGCGATATACCCTATACTTAAGTTCAACTGTTTTGAAAATAATGACAGTCAAGAATTGACTTTTTGCAACTTTGACAGGCTGTAGAACCTAAACGGTTAATTTTAGAGGAAAACCAATAGATCTTCATAAACTATCATTTGACACCAACTTTGAATTTATTCCATGATTGAAAATTCCAATTGAATTTAATCTCTGGTTAAATTTAAAGTTGGTGTCAAATGATAGTTTATGAAAATCTAAGACAGAAAATCTATCGGTTTTCCTCTAAAATTAACCGGTTAGGTTTTACAGCCTGTCAAAGTCGGAAAAAGTAAATTTTAGACTGTCAATATTTCTAAAACATTTGAACTTAGGTATAGGGTGTATCACATGAAATCTGCTCAGCATATCACGTAGAATCCAAATATGCAATACTAGTATCATTTGAAATAAGCAAGTTGACGCCTACTTCATACCACTGTCTTGAAAATATTTTAGCCGGGTTGCCCTCATTAACATTATTAGTTACTTGAGACATTCTCTCTGAAATATTAAAATTTCTAGTTTCAATTATTAAAGTTCACTTACAGATAAATAGGTCTGGAACGTTTCATTTTCATAATTTAAACTTAAGGGTGTGTTCACATTGAAGTTGGTGGATAGATTGTCTGGCCAGCGATCCGGGATCACCGAATTGTTTTCACCTAATGACCAATAAACCTGAAAATAACCATTTTTACAATATAATTCTTCACTGGCAATTAAATTAAGCAAATCTATACTCACTTCGAAGATTTTTGAAGCATCGTCAGCTATACAGGTGCAATTGTAAATGACTATGCCCATTTCTTTTACCTAAAATATGAAAAAAATTTGCATACACATACATTAAGGCTTCTAATAGGTACATTTTAAGCTTAACAGAAATAATGTTCCTATAGGAAATAGATTATGTATCTTAATCACTTTACGCAACAATGACAAAAATCGAGTATGTAATAAATAAAGCACCTGATTATTCATAAAGCCTTGACCCATTTTCTCAATCAATAAACCCCCCAATATCTTTAATAACTCATTTATTCCACGACATAATAATAAAACGCTACATTTCTTACTTGAGTAAGTGCTCGCCAATCCATATTGGCGCTACCAATATAAACATGTTTTCCATCGATAATCCACATTTTCGTGTGCAAAACCCCGTTGCCTAACAGTTTGGCAAAATTCAAACTCCTTACTTTGGCCGCTTTGCGTTTCACTAAAAATTCAGTATCCACGTTCGGATAGTTTTGCGAGGGTGCATTTTGAGCTACTCTTATCGCTACTCCACGATCGGTGCCTGCTTTTAGGAGAGCTTGAAAGATTTTTTCACCCTAAAATTATCCAATTTTGAATAAATGTGTGTTGATTATTTTTGGATATTACTTTAATGGAAGAAGGATCAGGATAAACTTCGGACTGGCGTAAAGTCCAATACAAGGAAGCGATGTCAATTGATTTTTTTGCATTTCGTATCAAGTCCGACCAAGTGTCATAAGTGGAAACATGTGTTATCGATGAATCGTTATATGCTAAACCGTCTGGTATACTTTCTACAAGGGCTAATCTGAAATAAAATAGAAAATAGTTTTCATGCAGACAATTCAACAGAGTTGGCATTACTACATACTTATTTTCACCTCAAAATCACCAAAAAATATTGAATCATGAAATTTTACCTGCACGAATTACAATCTCTAAGCGTATTGATTTCTTGCAAAGCTTTCTCTGTGGCATGATCTAATACGGGCAGTAGCACTACAAGGAAGATTAGGATACAAATTATCGTTATGGGAATGCAGGATGGTCGGCACCATCGGTTGTTTCCGCCCCATCTGTAAAATACAAAAATTGGGTTTATCAATTTTCCAAATTATTATTTGATTCAATCTTACCTGTCTTGACTTCCATCGTGATCTGTCAGAGAGTAGGCTTGAGCCCAAAGGTCATGTTCATGATGGCTAGAGGTCGATGGAGTCTCCGGAACCGTCTATATAAAATAATAAATTAGAATTCAATTTAAATTAATCTTGTTAATCAGTTTGAAAAAGATTTTTTTTGTACCCCTACATTAAATAAATTAACTCCGAGTCAACAAGATACATTTATCTTCCATCTTTCAAATGATTATCAGTATATTATCAAGTCTATGGGCGAATATGTCAGGGGATTCCCCCTTCAGTAACAAGAAAGCTTGATGCAAATTTCCCGTCTGCTCAAGGTTGAAATTATAGATAAATGACTCACAGCTTACTAGTGCAATGAAAAAATATGTCTTAAATATTAGTGCTCTATGTAGGTACGAAAATAACTGAAAACTGTCACAATTCTAGAGGTATTATGTTTTATTAATTAAGTTAAACCAAGCTAAAAACAAACTGCGTTGTATTCTTTCTCATTAGGAAATTGGCTTACATTAAACGAATTGAAAATACCTTACCCCATTAGTAAAATGCTTTGTTAATCAAACAAATTAGCATTTTTGTATGATTACATTACTTAATGTTCATTGTGGAATATTTCATTAATGTTTTACGCTAAATAATTACTATAAAAAAAAATTATAATAATTTCAAGTTCTTTATACTGGTATAGCCCAAGAAATTTATACCTGAGCCGCAAAAAAGTTTGCGAGGGCAGGCTGATTTTTCCAGGGCTGATTGGGGAGTGCGTCCTGAGTATTGAGCCAAAAAATCACACTCGAAAGCCTTGTGCGTTCGGCCCTATTGGCCTTTTTCTTATTTATTTTTTTTTGACAAAATGACCTTTACAAAACTTGTAGATAATTACATTCTGCCTCATGACTTTTTTTTGCTAGCTATTTTACTCTAGGCGCTGTGGCCATTTTAGTGCTTCAGAATTCGCAAAAAAATTAAATAGCAAACCTGCAGATTATTATACCTAATAAAATTCTCTATTACTTTGCCTGATGATATTTTATTGTAACTTTATTTCTTTCGCTTGTACGGCCTTTTAGGCATTTGAAAAATTTTATTTGACCTGGTGGACATTGTGGCATGCATAGCGTTTCTAAGGATTTGACACATTTTGCAGGTAAAATGTGACGTTTCGCGAAATTGAATTTCGCGGACGGTTGCAGAATAACTATTTGGGTATTAAGAGCGCAAAGTGGTACTTTGCCGATCAAAAGGTATTGTTGATATTGGCAAATGCACACTTGATTTTTTTTACAATCGCATTTGATAAAAAATAGTTCAGGTTCAAAGAAACCAGTAGTAAAAGCAAGCGCTTTTACTACTTTGCCGCTCTAGTGAAGGATTTTGACGTAGTTTGACGCGCTAAAGCGGCAAAGTGGAGGTCATCAGGAAACGTCTACTTTGCGAGCACAAATCTAATCGACAAAGTCTACTTTCTAGGCCGATTGTAGAAAAAATAGTATATTGTGTATTTAGGTGGAAAAGTGACACATTCTCGGCCGACGGTGTAAGTTGACGGGCGAGGCCGGCAAACACCGAAGGTTGAGAATGTGCTTTTCCACCGAAATACACATACCATTTTTTCTGCGATCGGTTAAATACCTGTTAAATGTTTGTATTTTAGTTCCAATTATTCAGCAATACGAGAATCACTTTCCCGGCCTAGGCCGGAAAAGTGTTTCCCGTATTGTTATTCATTGATTCCTTAGCAACTATTGGAACATAATTGATATACCAGAATATTGAGTTTTGCGACCTGCCAACCGGTCAAAAATGCTGACATTTCTTGTCAATCGCAGAAAATAGTTATTTTTGTATCAAGGGCGCGAAATGCTACTTTGGTGATCGAGATCTGATTTTTTCAAAGTATTTCGCGCCCGAGTTGCAAACAATATTTTTTCTACAACTCCATTTAAATATCAATCATTCGAAGCCAAAATAGCAGTTTCAATCAAAGGTAGGTGAATTTTAATTATGTTTGATTTCCTGACAGGTATGTGTCACCATGACACTCAGTGTGCGAAATAGCTAGTTCGCGCACGGCGTGGCATGGCTCAATACTCAGGACACAGTCTCCAATCAGGCCTGGAAAAATCAGCCTGCCCTCGCAAAATTTTTTGCGGCCCAGGTATAAATTTCTTGGGCATCACTTCTATTAAATTTTGATCATGTTCTTGTTTATTTCTGCCACTAAACAAAATTCCATCTTCTATGTTGGCTAACGTTTCCTCAACTGATGGTAACTGAAATTTAGAGGTGACGAGGTGACGATATTATCGATAGTATCGATATTTCAGAAAAATTCGAACAATCGAAAATATCGATAGTTCAAAGTGCAACTATTGATAGTCGCGGGATAATCGAATTCAATGAACTAATACTAACTTACATTGAATAGGAATTATTTATAGAGTTCACTGCTCCAATTTTGAATGTAAAATAGGTTAGGTCAACGGGGTTTGGGGTGCACGGTACACAGGACTGACTGCACCATTGCACCCGGTGTAATCTACGATAGAAATTGGACAGAGAAAAACGACAGACTCTCGAGCGGCGACTTATTAGTTTAGTTTGGTTTTAGGTAGTTTCTAATATCAAGGTTTAATACGATAATAGACACTTTAAGTTAGACAAAATACGTTAACGGTAACGTAAGATTTGACAGGTGCGCATGCGCAGTTTGTTTTCACCAAAAATAGCGTGTTACGTGTCACGTTATTTAACTGGTTTTTGCGTGTACCTTATCTGTAAACGTTCGTTGAACCGAGTGGGTCCGAAAGCCAAATTGCTGGTGTAGACCTTTGCCGAATGTATTTTAACCTTAAAAAAAGGTATCATGTAATTGAAAATAATCAAAATACAAAAATAATTTCTAATTTTTCCTTTTCACAACAAAATTCAGAGGTTAGGTCATGATTGTGAGAGATAACGTTAACATTTACGTGAAAATTTAACTTAAACTGATTTGTGAGCACCGACGGTCACTCATATAGTAAAAATAGGGTTTACGTTTAAAGATTACGTTAACGTATTTGGTCCAACTTAAAGTGTCTATTGTTTCTTTCCATAAAAAAAATAAAATAAAACAATATCAATAATTTTTTGTTTGTTTCAAACTATCGATAAATTATCGATAGTTTCGATATTCACCACCATGATTATCGAAACTATCGATATTATTTTTTTATCACTATCGTCAACTCTACAGTGAAATTTGTTTAGATTTGTATAATCTACACATATTCGGATTTTATCACTTTTTTTTTAGCAACGACAATAAGTCAACACCAATCGGTAGGTTGATCTACTTTCTCAATTATTCCATCATTTATTAATTTTTTTAATTCTTATCGAAATTTTTCCATTAGAGGCATTGGAATCCGTCTTGGTACAGATACACTATAAGTAAGGCTCTACATTTTCAGCTAATTTTATAGCATACTCAGCAGCGTTCCCAGGAGAACGAATGTTTCCTCTTTGTTCCTTATATTATCATTTGCATATGATTGCTCCACTGTTTCAAGAAAGAGGGAGAAGAGAGCAGTAGTTGAAATGTGGCAATATGAGTATCCAAAATTAACATTTTAGTCCAATGTGACATACAAAAGAATCCCACTTTTTCACCTATTTTTTTTTACACAGATAATTTACACCTGAAGAAACCCAATACACCAGACAATTTGTCTTTGCATTATTTAACTGAGTTTATTTTTTACATACTTAGCCAGTTTGTAAGTAAGTATAAAGAATCAATTCATTGTTTAGAACCTTTAACTCATGTTATTATAATCATTCTCAGAAATGACAATCAAAAATGTCGTCAGCAAAGATATGAAACATTTCTTTAAGGTGCAATAATAACATGATTGTTGCTGAAATATGAGCCTTAAAACTTCAAGATTATCTATAAACAAACATCAGAATTAGCTTGTTATGTCTCAAGTTACATGTTTTTTTTCTTCCTCCGTGGGTCTCTATCTCTACGGACCTAAATGTATCAAAACTGTGATCGTAGATCACTCGTTAAACTTGAAAAAGGTACCTAGCATATTGAAGAAGGACTACCTAGGTATATCAAATTAAAATACACAGAAAAATTGAAACATATGGGGAATGGTAACAAAGAAAAATGTATACAAAATATAGTCTGTTTAAAATACAATTCAAAAATCTGGGTTTTAATTTTTCTTAAGTTGCCTTTATCATTTTTCTCTTACCTTTTGTTGATGGTTGAGCTTGATTTTCATTCTAAATTATTTATAAACTCACTTGAACCTTCTTTCAATTAACAAAACAATAATTTCTCATACTTTTTGTATTCTAAAAAATTGAATGTATTGTTTGAAGTAATCTTTATTTTGATTTTGCTTATCAGCTGAAAATAGAAAAAGCACAAAAAGCAAAACACTTTCAATTCCGTTCATTTACCTATATTGTACTTTCCTTTTCTATAAGGTCTGTTCCAACACATCAAAAATCGTGGTTTCGAAACTACAAATTTTGGATTCTACCATTCTATGCGCAAATTTTAAACTTTGCGCAGAATCGTAGCGGTACATTGTACGGTTTCCTGCTGTGTTGGAACAGAGCTAACGTATTAAATGAAAAGAGATAAATATAGCCCGGGCAAATCACCTATAATTTTCAAAAAAAAATGGGTAGGTTTCAGAAACTTTTTTGAATGAAGATAAAGGCGGGAATTTCTGTTGATTTCAGTAAAGGTCTCAGGAGAATAGATGTAAATACCTATAGATCTTTCTCAGCACAACTTTTATACAATAAATAATTAGGACAAAAACCTTTTTTTATTATCATCAATAAGTCTTACAACCATAAATAAATAATGAAAAACGCAGTAAAACACTGAATTGAGACAATAACATCTTTGTAAACCGATCAATAAATATTCCAATAGAGGATTAGTCATGCGATAAATTAAAAAATAGTTTTTATACATTTAAAAATGCAAAATCCTTACCGATAATGTAGGCTTATTCAAAATACTTGGACGGTAATGAGATGGGGACCGTGTCCTTTTCTCAACTGTAGGCGGTATTAAAACTACAAGTTGTTCTTTATCATCTCCATTTTTCCTATCCGAAGCCGTAGCTCGAGAATTTCCACAATGCGGAAACTCGTCCGGAGATGAAGTCGTATGGCGCGAAGATGTTCCAGCACTAACAATGACTTCATTTGTATCATTGCACATTCAGATCATTTTTGTTCCTTACCTGTTCAAGTGGATATTCGCAGTATTATCCCCGTAACTAATATTATTCGTGTTGTTGACTTGAACTAGTAAACTACAAGTTTGCGAGGCTATTTGAAAAAGACCGTCTTGAAGGTTTCTTTGTCTGGGGGTGCTTTTAAAACCGAAATGGTCCCAGAAATGTGGCATACTTATCGACTAAAAATAATAGGATTTTTTTTGTGATTGAACTGCAACTATTGAATCAATTATTAGATAAATTTCACTACTAGGAGTTTAAAGTTAAAATTTTGTAAAAATACTCCAATTTGTTTTGTCATTGAAAAGCAAAAACACAGTATGGTATATTTCCCACAATTATTTTAATCAAACATGAAAAATATAGTATTGTTGCCTGTTGTTTGAAATTATTAGCATTATCGTGTCCCTCATCGAATAGTTTTTGTTAGGGACAATCCCGTAATAAAATTTCCTTAAATTTTTTTTATTAAAGCCGCTGAAGCACGCACCTTCAACTAATTAATTAGTAGTCATCATTATAATAAAAGTTAAGTCATTATTGCCGAAAATTCACATTAACTAATCACAGTAAAAACACGAAAAAGTCCTTAACCCGGATCGAACATTCTCCAAATTTCGAAGCGACGCAGGCCCTACGTGAGGCGACGCTAAACTGAACGTGAAAAGGCCTCTAATGGAAAACTTGGCGGCAAATGTATTACATTGATTAGTCCATTTTTCCAAAGGGGTTGTTTCGTGTTAGCGGAACGTTGCATGGATAATGTTATAGATCATATCACATGCGCCGAAGGACGAAGGATTTTCTTTTTTGCAAATGCAAATATTCTTGACCGAAAAGGTATACTTATTGGGGTGGATAAATTGGGTCGATTCTGTGCGGTATTTGAAATCCATTATCATCTTTGTGGTCGCAAATAAAACCACATACCTATTTTGATATAATAGCTGTGATAATAACAAAGATACAATTTTTTCTGCCTTTGGCAAATCTTAGGACGATATAGGAGGGATGAGAAAGGACTCTCTGTTATTTTAAATCTTAGCAACACTGGGATATCCAAAAATTCTGAAGGAATAAGAAATCCAGTTAGATCAAACAGATCAATGGGTTTTCTGCCTGAGAAAGTCCAAACTGCCATAAAATAGCTCAAACCAGATCTCATCCAATTTTGTTGACAAAATGTGTCTTCTTCTTGATCAAGACCGCTTCTCTTTTTCAAGTACCTGGAATATATTTTGCACTCGTCTTTAATTACCCTTGATGATCTCATAATTCTGCCTGTAGTCCTGTCGCAGTAGTTCGTAATTCTTCAATTCAAAATACTTTTTCCATTGCTAGGGCATTATTGTGAATAGGTAGTAGGTAGGTATCTTCAGTTTATGTAGTCCTAATGTTTTTTAGTATTCTCCAACTTTTGGTTATTCTTTTACTTCCAAGATAAAATGGTTATCAATATGAGTTCAGTTTCTTTTAGATCACTCTTTTTTTCTGTACTGATGTTACTTCTGTTCTCAAAATATTTATTTGTCTCCTATACTGTCTGAATTTCATCTGCTATGTCTTAATCAATTTCTTTATCTCAAGGTTTCAAATGTTGCACTGTGACTATGTACCTACTTTGATAGTGTACCTACTTCTGGTAATGCATTTCAAGGTTTCAGAAGTTCAGGACTATTTTGTTGTTTTTGATAGAATACCTCATTCAGAATCAATATGGATCTCTTCTGTGAAGATCTATATTAAAAACCTTGCTGAATGGAGAAGTAGAGGCGGAATGATGATTTTAACTAACACATGAATGTAATCAAGTCAATGAGAATTATGTTATTCATTGGCTAAATTTGATTTGATTTGAATCTACTTACAATTTCAATAAAAAGTCTGGTTTCAAAATATGAAATAATGCAACAAGAAGTGATTCATTAGATCTGATAAACAACTTTCATCAAGTACGCATTTTCCAAGTTTAAGTAACAGCATCACGACAACTTAACAGAGTCATGCAGGTAGAGGCAAGTGCTGATTCTCTCAATTTTTGTAAAATATCTTGAAGGTTGGCCGATTGCTTTCTTGACGAAAACAGAAAAATATTCATCCATCTTTCATCTGAATGGAAAAATGTTGCAACTCACAACAGTCCTTTGAAACACTTTAAGGAGGAAAGTGTTAAATGTTGGAAATTAAAACCTACAATTATTCTATATAAACCTTTCTTTATTTCAAGTATCACAGATTTTATTTTATAGCTATAAGCTATCATAAAGGCTGATTTACAACGTATCCAGTAACTAGCATGCCAACTCTTGGCTGGTAAAGGGCTGGACCCAGGTTGTCTACATGAGTCCAGTCAATCATGAGTTTCCACTGCGGAATCCTTACTGGCAAGAAAAATAGACACACTCTATTCGCTTCAGTGCTGGTGGCCAGAGGACTGGCATGAGCAAGTGTTCATACGATGTCAGCTACTGGATATGTGTAAATCAGCCTTCATACAAATAATTACAAGTGCTGGGCAACATATTCACCTAAATTAACTCTTTTAACAGTTTCCCCTTTTTCCCTCAAAATTTCTTCGATATTCCTTTTACCATTCAAATCGGTAAACCATTTGAGATTATCAGCAATCAAATGGTTGTTTTTGCACCCTGAACATTCCACTATAACTACCCCCTTTTCGTAGGCAACTTTCGAAATTTTATGGTGGTTGCGGGTGTCGCACTTTTTGCAGGTGTATTCTAGGTGGAGTCTTGGATCGATTTTCGCTAGGGGCTCCGCTGGGGGGCTGCTGACTGCTGAAGAACGGTACCTTATCGTTGAGGACAAGGGAAAAATTGTACGTCTAGTGAAAATGTTGCTTCTTGATCTGGATTGATTAAGGCTCACTCGGAGGATATTTTGTAGGTTTGTTATACGTCGAAAAGCCATAATTTTTAGGGAATTTTGATTTTTTTTCTGTACTCCTCCTCTCCTAAAGTAATAACAGTGAGGTTATGTGCTTATGATTACAAATTTTCTCTTCTTTTATTTTATAACATTTTGTTTGAGCTGAGAGTTTTTGTCTCTTTCGCTCTCATAATGTGAGAGAGATCAAAATGTCATTATTAGAGAAGGTTTTATTGGTTTTATCCCAAGGTTCCTCCTCCCTCCTTTAAGCAACCTTGGTTTTTAAGAGATGTTTGAAAGAGATGCTAACTGTTATAACGTCACCTGGGGGGCCTCAACATAATGCAAATCTCTAGGCACCCCAGATGACGTCATCAAGTTTCCCATTCAAGACAAGCTATTAACTTTAGGAGCCTTGGGTTTTATCAATACTCGTAAAAATAGAATGCAAGAATCGTTGTGCTTTTTTTTTTAATCAGACCATTTTAAATTCTCAAAAATTTCTTCTTTTTTTTATTAACATGCTGGTTGCTGACCAGCTGCTGTTTGTGGTAGCTACTGCCAGAATTTTCCGGATTGGTCTGTCATTTTAGTGACATTACAATTGTCAAGTCAACATACCCCTATTACCCCTTGCTTGGAGAATTTTCCTGTTACACAACAACTTAACAAGTTCTTTTACCAAATTTCCAACTAAAGTTTATAGAAAAGCCCTCAAAATGCAAGGAATGACTCTCGCCTCTTTGAGGAAGCATAAAGCTGTAAGTGGGACATATTTTTGTTTGTTTATCCTTCACTAAAATCTTCAAATTTCAATGTTTTTTGAGAATATCTACTAGCAGAATATGTATTGTATATTGTTTCTACAAACACTCAATTTGCTTTTCAGCTCATTCCTCTCTATGTATGCATTGGGGCTGGTTGCCTTGGAGCTGGCTTCTACACTTTAAGATTGGCCACTCGTAATCCTGATGTTCAATGGGACAGGTCATCCGGAAACATCTCCAACGAGGAATTCCGTGGAAAGCAATACAAAGTATAAACTATTATTTTCAACTAAAACTTCAGTAATTAATTGTGTGATTGTTTTCAGTTCTATTCTCCCAGAGTGGATTACACCAAACTAGAAAGCCCAGCTCCTAAATTTGAAAAATGAAGTGATAAATGAATAATTATTATTGTAATTTTGTTAGAATGCTTTAGGTTATTTAAATTAAAGCTTAATCTACTTTATGTAGTGAATGTTAGAATGGTGTTTTTGATAATGTCCTATGAATTAAAAATATAGGAAGGTCAAATAAGAGAGGTGCAAAAAATGCATATAGATTTTAATAATTTATTTATGGAAAAGTGCCAGACAAAATTAGTTGTATTCCTTTCACACCTAGGAGGAGCCCCGGAACAGCTCCGGGGCTTCACGCGCTTATTCCTTTCGAAAAGTTTTTGTTGCACCACGCATCTGTTCCCTGCAAATCGGGGGCGACTGAACACCGGAGCGAGTAGCTCGAGTGTTTCAAACTCTTGAAAGGAATACAACTATTGAATTTGATCTGTTGTTCACTTTTGCCAGAGGACTACCCAATTCCTTTGATTTTAGTTTGTGAAAAATTGAGTAATCTAACTACCACTTTAGATGAATTGAATAGGCAATATTGGCCAATAGGCCTAATTCCCAATCCCAATAATCCATCGACTAGCTTCTTAGAAGCAGTTCAATCCATTCCTCATAATTTTTTGCTCCGAGTACTCCGTACGCACTATTGATTGTTCGGGTCTAATCTCTTTGGTGTAAGTAGAGTAGCTGTACGACGTCATTTTTGTTCTGAATTTTTCGCTCTGCTCTCTTCACTCAGAGACCGGTCAAAAAATAGAACTTGAAGGTAAAGAAATCCTTGAATGACCGTGGCCGCCATATTGATTGCGTCTTCCCATTGTTCATCCAACCCATAAAAAAAAGAAGAATTGTCAGTTGTCCAGTTCCTAACCTAATTTCAATTTTTTCGCTGTTTTGCAAAAATAGTTTCAAATTTTGCAATAAATAAAATATTGTGTTTTTCCGATGGCTACTCATTGGGAGGAATTCTACTCCAGTCATTTGCCACCAATCGATTTCGAGGACAATCGTAAATTGCTGCAAGAATTTTGCGAAAGGCACAATGAAAATAACGAAAAAATTGTTTTAATTACGGTAAGAAACTATCATGAGAAAACCCAAATTTTGTTGTTTTCCTCGTTAACTACACATACAGTACAGCCATAGTCCAACAGATAACATTTCACGTTAATTCAGGCTTCTAGGAAAAAAAAAATCAATATCGTACATTCCTTAATTAGGACAAGAATTAAGTTTCTACATATCTAAAGGAAAACTTTTGATGGAAGAAACAATTCTAATTTGAAACAACATACATATATAATTAACACAAGCTCTATATTATATACACTGAAATTCCAACAGAGCTGAGCTAAGTACTCAGCAAATGTACTTAAAATATTGAATATTTCAAATATAGAATCTGTTTTTTTTTTAAAGATAATTCCCCAAGTCAAAAATTTAGTAACTATGTTGGCAACACAAGCCTTTTCTACATGAAAAATTTGATAGCATTGACAATTTTACATTGTATTGCCAACCTAATGTCAGTTTGACTTTTATCTTTAAAAAAAAATGCACTTTAGTTACTTGCAGTTAGAGCTGGGAGTAACGACAAATAGTATATTACAATCCGAGACGGGAAATTCGTGACAACCAAATAAATGAGGTCGGGAAATGAAGACGGGGAATGAGGACGAGAAATATTTCCCTGCTCCATTTTCCGTCCGTGGACAGGAAATGAGGACGGAAAAAATTTCCCGTCCGGGGACAGGTAATGGACCAGAAAAATGAAAAGACAGAAATGTAACATTTTCAAATTTTTAAAAAGTCAGTAATGACATCATTTCATATATGGTTAAAAATAATAGTATATTACATACCGAGTAGGGAAGTGTTTCAGTGTCAGTAATGTCGAGATTACATATATGGTTGCAAATAAAAATAGTTACTTTACTTTAAGGGGATTGAATGCGCCTTGATGCCAAAATATTTTTTCCTGCGCGAAGCACCTAACGCAGTGTATCATTGTATTCTTCCCCCCCTATTAATACTCCTTAGTGGGAATGAGATGAATAAAACAAGGAATGCGTTGCGTTCTTAGTTTCAACGTAACTTTTTAGCAGTTGAAGTTATATCAAATTTCTTTTTTGCATTCGATTTATAATTTAATACATGTCTTTATTTCTTTTAAGTGTATTGTTAAGCTTTATGTTACTGTTAGTCTTAAGTGGATGTCTGTAATTGGCCCCTGGCTGTTGATGTCTGATTGATAAATAAATAAATAAATAAATAAATATAGGGAAGAATGGCGCTATCTTTTTAGAAATCCGGTAATAGAAACGAGTTCTCGAAATTACAAAAATGTAATTTAAACTGGAAAAAAACGAGAAAATTAATCAATTTATGGTGTCTTTTTTATTTAGCGCCAATCTTTTGTGTGGTAGCAATACAATAGCACAAACCAGAATCCCAAAAATCATCTAGTTTTTTTTGTAGAATTTTACTTAATTCTTCTTGTCATTTTGCCTGTCTCTGTTATACCCGCAGCAAACCCTATGGCTCTTTCCTCCGCCTGATTTGCGATAAATTTTAAATCGCTATCATGAAGGATCCAAGGCTAACCGGCCCAACAGTAGCCCAATGGAATAATCGCGATAAACCTCGCATCTTTATTAGCATTAACTTGTTGGGAGTCGTATAGTTCGACGTGCGTTACAATATAATTTAAACGGCGCATTCAATACCCTTAACGAGTTATTAAAAGTTACGCATTACTTGGTAACTTCGTTACTTTTCAGATTGATATTGCTAAGTAACTATAACGACGTTACTTTCCTGAAGTAACTGCAGATCGTTATTTTGTTAAAGTAACGAGTTACTATGAAAGTAGCGTGTTACTATGGAAATAACGCATTTATATGGAAGTAACGCGTTACTAGTTACTATGAAAGTAACGCATTCTCTCAATTTGTTTATCTTCTTTACAAATAATTGACGATTGAAGAAAAGGAAAATAAGTAATTCAAAAACTTTGTATGTCAAATAAAATATGGGTAGTACAGAAAATTGGTTTTGAAAGCTCAAAATAATCGTTTTTGAGCAAGCCTCTGCTCTAAAGACACTATATGCACACACTGGGACGCTTCAAAAAGCAGGTTTGTCCAAAAAGTTCCCTATTTAGTCGCTTAATCCTTAATCCGTTTTTGTTGTTTTTGCAACAAAACTCTTCCACATAGTCGGACTCACAAACTAAAAACATATTGGCATTTCGTATAGGTCTTATTTGATTGTTTGGACTGCTGTGTTGGTGAGTCAAATCAAAGAATAACGCAATTTTCGACGTAAATAGTTATTTTTGAAGTAACGCGTTACTTTAAAAGTAACACTTTATTCAAAAGTAGCGCTTTATTTCAAACTAACGCGTTGAGGTAACGGGTTACTTTCAAATAACGAGTTACTTTTAAGTAACGAACTACTTCTAAAGTAAAGAAGTTACTTTCAAAGTAAAGAAGTTACAGTAACGCGTTACTTTCCAATAAGTAACGCGTAATAAAGTTATCATTATTCGAAAGTAACTGTAAATTATAAGTAACGAGTTATTTTTAAGCAAAAGTACCTGTAAAGTAACGCGTTACTTTTTTCAAGTAACAATCCCAGCTCTGCTTACAGTATTAAGTACAACATTTAATATTGTACTAAAGTATTAGTATTTTACTTAAATTAACAGTAGGGTGTCACCCAACTTGGGCGACAGTATAGGGTGGTCCAATTTGGACACTGTTATTTAATAGGAAACATTAATTTCTGAACAAGATACAAGTATAATGAGATTCAATATTCAATCAAAAATATAAGTAATGAAATACAAATGAAGAAAAATAAAAATAAAAATGTTTTGTTAATTTTTCATCATTGAGTTATACAGGGTCCCAACCATCTTATAGTGGTTCTGGTAACAGGTGAGGTAGGTGTGGGTGCAAATCACAATCACCCAGTACTTGATTATTTTGCTGTGAGTACCAACTTTTCTTATGAAATTACCTAAGTAAAATAGGTACTTAAAAATATTAAATAATGTATTGAATATTTCACTTGAAGTATATTTTTCTAATCAGAACTCCAACTATACTGACACCATTCATACAATCATATACTTTTAGTCCGGTGGTACCACTGTCCCTCTGGAACACAACACAGTGAGATTTGTAGACAATTTCAGTGCAGGTACAAGGGGTGCCGCCAGTGCGGAGTACTTTTTAGAGCACGGCTACGTTACTATATTTATGCACCGCCTGAAAAGCTTGGAACCGTTCACGAGACATTTCAACGGGCAGAAATTCATGGACATGCTGGATTTGAACGAAAGGGGACCCAATACAACCATAACCGGTGCGTAAAGCGTCAAGAATTTAATTTACGAGCTGATTTTTTGAATTGTTTAGTCAGACCTGATGGGGTGGATGTGCTGGCTCCAATTTTGTCTCGATATAAAGCCGCCCAGGATAACGGCAGGATATTGTATGTAAACTTTACAACAGTTTCGGACTACTTTTGGTTATTGAGGGCCGTTTGTGAGTGTTTGGCGCAATTCGGAGCTCGGGCCTTGCTTTACTTAGCGGCCGCAGTTTCTGACTTTTATGTTCCTGCAAATCAGATTGTAAGCCAACAAATTGGAATTAGTTGTTTTTAAATCGGTTTTGTTTTTCTAGCCTACACATAAAATGCAATCAGGCGGGGGTCCCCCTAATATCCAACTTCAGTTGGTACCTAAACTATTAGCTCCTTTAGTGAGCTTGTGGGTACCACTAGCATTTGTGGTGTCTTTTAAGTTAGAAACTGATGAAAGTATTTTAATAAGTAAATCTAGGGATGCTTTAAATAAATACAAACATAAGGTTAGTTATTTATAATAATTTTATTCAATAATTTTAATTTTTTTAAAATTTTTAGCTTGTAGTTGGTAATATGCTCCAAACAAGACGAACCAAAGTAGTTTTTGTGACTCCCGATAATAACTATGAGTTAATTTTATCAAGAGAGCAAGTCCACAATGGCATGGAAATAGAAGAAATTATAGTTTCAAATGTTGTAGCCAATCATTTAGATTATATTAAAATACAAAAATACTAGAAAAATATTGGCAAATCGACGGAGAAATTTTAAAGAAAATATCATATTGATGGTTTAGGTGGTAAATGTTTATTTAGATAATCACTTCTAATCAGGGTAACAATAGAAATTCTATATTTTAAATTCTGAAGGTGTAGCTAAAACATATCTAAAAAAAAGGGATCATTGGTATTATTACCCTAAGACTGTGGTAAAAATATTTCTAGAGTGCCAACACTTTTAGATTCATGCCTTTATGAAAATATATACAAAAAATACCGAATTGGAACAATTAGAATATTTTGTGTTAATGTGGTGTTAAATATCTTCTAGAGGTATTGATTAATGTGCATTTAGTTTTTGTAGGCTCACTTTTGCGATTTAATGTTAATCTTTGAGACAAATCAATGAAATTTTTTTCCTCTTGAAGGTAGCAATGTTTTGAATAAATCTCGTTTTTTTGATCCTAAATTTCCCAAAGAAAGTAGTGAGATGATGGTAAGAACTGGAGCTTTCCCTATGAAAAAAAAAAAAATGGAACAAAGAAAGAATATCAAAGTTGTGCAGAGTAGGCAGCTACTACAGAACAACTTCAACACCCAGGGTTTTTGGTTCATGTTGGTTCCAGAACATTTTTTCATTTGAAGGATGTGTCTGCATAATAAAATTGTCAGTAATGATATATTTCACTGTAATTTGGTACCATTGGAAACTTGACAATCAAGCAAATCCAGGTAGTAACTGCATTAGAAACCTAAAGGTGCGTACAGACATGCAACAGAAAGCCGTAACGTAACTTCACCGCGTATCAAGCACGCGACATGTTCTGTTGCGCGACGTTGTTACGTTGCGATGAGGAAAGTGGGTTTAGTTTGGTGCAACAGAACATCGCCGCGCAACATCGGCGCGGAACATTTAGGCGTCCCAGCTTTTTAGCAACGTTTTTAGTTAGTTGGTATCTACGTTCAAGCAAGATGGACATTGCTGCTGCAGCTTACATAGTTATGCACTATTTAGTGCATAAGAGAAAACGCAGACCAAGACGCTGGTGGCAGACTCAATTATACACCAGTAGAACTGTGTACAGTGGTCGTCATTTATTGAGAGACCTAAACTTCCAGTCTGTGAGTGGTCTATACAAAAACTTTACCAGAATGTCGCCAACTGATTTTGAATTTTTGATTAACCTAATCGGTCCAAAAGTATCAAGAAGAGACACTAATTGGAGACAAGCTATTTCGGTTCAGGAAAGATTGGCAGTAACAATGCGTTTTCTGGCGACTGGAGATTCCTTCACGAGTCTGCAATATCTGTTCAAAATTTCGAAACAATCGATAAGCGCTATAGTACCAGAAGTGTGTGAAGCTCTCATAGAAGGGTTGAAGGAGAATATACAGGTATGTTGATTTATTTATTGCTCAAAATTCTTTATTATAAAACATTTTTCTATAAAATTTTGTTCTTGAATATCATTTAATTATCTGGCAAGTTTAAATCAGTTAGTAATGTTGCACTGGTAAATGGGGGTGGATTGCTGGTAGAAGCGGAATAATTTGTCATACCCGAGCATTGTGAACTTGCTGATGCTGGAGATATTAGTGGCAGTGGTACCGGTGAAAACTGAGGCGCTTGGGATGATGCGTCAGTTGCAAAATCCCAATGAGCTGCGGGACGGGGTGAATATGGGGATTGTATCAACTGAGTATCTTGGTAAACCGAATCACGTTGTACAAGTTCGCTTTGGATTGTGGAATAATTGTTTGATTGATAACCTCTTGGAGCGGGATATTGATTATAATACCCCTTGTCTGCCGCAAATAAAATATTCATGATGGCTTCTTGTACTGCCGTTTGTGCTACGTTCGAATATTTACTAAGTTTCTTGGCTACAAGATTTCCAAATATTTGACATTCGCTTGGATCCTGCGGTGGTTCCTTATTCGATGCCTTTGTTAGAATTTCGAAAGCAGCATCCAATTTTTCAACTGCACGTTTTTTGTTCGGGATACTATGAGTCATCTGAGGGGGTTTTCTTTCCTTGTTACTGACTCTAATCCGAGTCTTTGGAGTCTGCTGAGACTCGTTGGGCTCCTGGGTCACGCGAAGCTCATGAGTCTCGTGAGACTGCTGAGTCCCGTGAGGCTTCTGAATCTCATGATGCTCTTCAGTCTCGTCAGGCTCTTGTATGTCGTTAGTCTTCTGGGGCTCCTCAGAGTCCGGATTCATATCTTGCAAAGCGGTATCATCATCTACATCATTACTTTCGTCTGTTTCTTTATCAATCTGCAACCAAATAAAAAGTTCTGTTGATATTTTTTCGATAATATGACAAAATAGTTTTCTGGGTTGGGAAAGAAATGTCTTGTAGATCAGGTCATAAATTCAAGGTTTTTTAGTTAGTAGAATCATTATTCTTTGAAGTTTCTGAAAACGATATTTTTTACAGATACCAACAACATCAGAGGGGTGGTTACAAGTAGCAAAACAATACAACGATATTTGGAACTTTCCGCACTGCCTAGGGGCAATCGATGGAAAACACGTCGTTTTGCAAGCACCTATTAATACAGGAAGCGATTTTTTTAACTACAAATCGACATTCAGCATAGTTCTTTTTGCAGTAGTAGATGCTCATTACAACTTTTTGTATGTTGATGCTGGAGGCCAAGGAAGAATTTCTGATGGTGGCATTTTCAAAAATTGTTCCCTGTTCAAAAAACTAGAAAAAAATGAGTTAAGATTGCCACTAGCTGAAGCTTTGGATGGTAGACAACGCGAAATTCCCTATTTTTTCATTGGAGATGAGGCGTTTGCTCTCACTGATACATTAATGAAACCGTTTTCGGGAATTCACCCCAAAGGATCATTACAAAGGGTTTATAATTATAGATTATCTCGCGCGCGAAGAGTCGTAGAGAATGTATTTGGTATTGCTTCAGCAGTATTTAGAGCACTCCGGAAACCCATGCTGCTAAGTCCTGAAAAGGCTGAGCTCATTGTAATGGCAATAGCTCACTTACATAATTTCTTAAGGAAAAGTTCCTCCTCCTGTCACTTGTATACACCAAACGGAACATTCGATACGGAAGTAGAGGGAAAACTTGTCGATGGAGCGAGAGCTTCAAGTAATGAACCAACTACTTCGCTACTTCCTCTCAGAAATATTCCCAGAAAACCATCCATACAGGCTAAAGCAATTCGAGAAGAATTGGCTGATTTCTTTCAAAATGAAGGGCGGATTTTGTGGCAAGATAAATATACTTAAATAATATTGAAAAAAATAAATAAATAAATAAATAAACACTTACAGAGCTTTGAGTATTGCGTACTTTGTTTTTGTCCCACAGGAATAGCAAGCTCTTGAATGCGAACCAAGAACTTTCATACACATCGGAACGCCCTACAATTGAAATAATAGTATATTAATCAATTCATATTATACTATTACAAAAGTCAATTGGAACAAGGTACCAACTGGTGGCTGACTGATGGTCACTGGAAAGTTCCATAAGAAATGCACTGCCGCCACTGCCACTAGTCAGCCGGCCACCAGTATGATTTATGTTTACCTTGTTCCAATTGACTTTGGAAAAACTATACCAGTAGTAACAACCCAAGGACATTGATAATTGTTCGAAAACATTTTTTTAACAGGTTTCGAAAGCTTGTTGAAGGCAACAAGCTTGAGAAAGTTGTTAAAAAAATTGGCTGTTAGAAGTGTCAAAAAAATTTAATTAATTAATAAATCTTTACCTGTTCCGGTGCCCATGCTTTTTTTAATTTTTGACTTTTCCCGCCTCAGCGCTGACTGCAACGCACTAATTTTCTTCTTGCACTCGTCAATCGTAGCACCTACACTTCTTGCGACATCTTCCCACGCATCATTTTTCTGAATTTTATTAAAATATCTGGGATGTTTGTTATTCCATAAAATTTCCTTCCCTCTATAAATTTCGATAAACTCAAGCACACTGTCTTCCGTCCACTCCATTTCTATCGAAATCAAAATAGCAACTGAATTTGACTGGAAATAGTGGAAATACAAAAGGGCAAAACCAAAACAACGGCACCGGGTTCGCAAGCACGTCCAGACTAAAAAAATCAAGTGCAACATCGCCGCGAACATTTCTTTGATGCGGTGTCGATTTACCGACAACCGATGGGACGCTGCGATGTTACGGTGTTACGCGGTTGCTGTACTGCTACGATGTTGCAGAGTACGGTCCAGATATGTCGCGTACTTGTTACGCGGTGAAGTTACGTTACGGCGTTCTGTTGCATGTCTGTACGCACCTTAATATATTATGCACTATTATCTGTTCACAATCCGATGTCCACTGGTACCGGTAAAATTTATCACCTTTCAAATGCTATTTGATAGGGAAAGGTGATAAATGTACCTGCACCTGTGGACATCGGATTGTGAACAGAATATATGTTATAAATCAAATCTTCCACTAATTCTCTAGCTTAAAATCTATCTGGAAAATGTAGGTACCTACAGATATGTTATAAATGGCCTACTTAGACGTTTTGTGAATGTAAAAAATGATGGCATGAAGTAAAGTATGAAATGCAAAAAACAATATTTATTCAAAATATCATTCAGCAAAGCGCCTTATCTGTATATTTTTGCTGCCATAAGATAAAATGGTATATTCCTTGAGAAAAACATATAGGCATATAAATATATAACCCTAAGTCCTAAAACTGATTGATTTATATATAGTTTCTATCTTTTTTATAACTTTTGTACTAGTTTGTTTTATATAACGAAAAAAAAAAACTATATTTATTATAAAAAAAAACCTGTTGTGAATTCTGCAAATTGTTAAATCGCACTTTAAATGTCTGTCCAGCATATCAAAGCGCTATGGGTGTATAGAATATTAGTACAACATATAAATGTATATCTTAATATATTATGTATTTTCAAATTGTTGCGTATAAAATTTCACAACCCTTGAAAAAACCCATGTAAGTCAATTACTAATTTTTCTCCAGTTGTACTTAAGTGATAATCTTATCTAGCTTTATATGGGTTTTTGAGGCATACTTTAAGTTTTTGGGCTGTGTCTTTATCTAAATATCTTCGTACGTAAATTTCAAACAATCGGTCGCTGTAGAGGAGCTTATGAAGTCGATCACCATATTTTCTAAAAAAATGTATGAAAGTTGTTTCAACAACAAAACGCACAAATTTTACCTTGCTTCAAGAGTTTTATCATTCAAAAACTTAACCATATTCACAATAATCCTTTTCCTAGTAAAATCGCTGTTATTCGGATTCAAAATGTAGCTTGACCCGGCAATTACTACAGCGCACACTACTAATCTTGCCGTAGCTATTCGTACCAAGGAGTTTTTATGTTCGGGACCCTTAAATTTGAAATTTAGCTGCATTATCGGAGACACCTATTTGGTTACCTTTGCACAAAGCGACCTAATTGCGTGCAAAATCGGTATGTGCGTAACCATACAATCTAAAGCCAAATTTGCATCATGTTTAATGAATTTGTTAGAATCTGCCGTTCGGCATAGGAGAGTGTCTACAATTTCATCAAATTCCTAAAAAATATAAGTCTTAAACAGCTCACAAACAAACAAAAAAATCCTTACTGGTCTTCTAGTATCTTTAACATATTCAAACAAATGTCCTATAGCTTTACATGTAGTCCTACATACATGAGATCTTGAACTTTTCAACATATCTATAATTCTTTGATTGATAATGGTCATATGTGGATAAACAATATTCACATCGCACGTGCGGCATATTTCCAAAACTTCCGCCAAACCTCTAAGAGCAACATTCCAATCTTCCTCCCTTATTTTTGTAATTGCTTGCATAAGCTCATTTTCTGAATTATTGGCGTCCGGGCAAGTTTCTATTATGGTTGAATTAGATGAATCCTAAAAATTGTCTATTAATTAGTACAAAACTCACTTAATTCTCTTACTAAATTTAAAGATTTTAAATTCAATTCATATCCACCAGGATCAGGTTTATTATGGAAAATAGACGAAGAACTTTTATCGATGTAAGGTACTTTTTTGATTGCTGATTTGTCTACATTAGGAGTAGGACTAGCACTCCTGCCTCTTCTAGTTGGTGAAATTAATTTAGTAACTGTATCGATTTCCCTCATTTTATTTTTTTGTTCGCTCGAAAATGTCGGAGACATGAAGGAGTAATTTTTAGTTATTTTTGGCGAAGGAGTAGTAGTTTTTAAGTTCAAAGCTAATTCTTTCTCGCAAAAGTATTTCACAGGTTTAGTGTTATCTGGGACTGGTGCTTTTTCTCTGATCTTTGTTACTGTAAATCTGGTAAGGGCAGTAGGAGGTTTATTAGACACTGCAACATATGAATGACTTTTAAAGTTTCCATTTGTAGTTCCTGAAACGATTTTCCTCAACGGGGAAGTTTGCTGTAAAAAACTCGATCTCGACACTCTGGGCGAAAAAGATTCGTCAAATTTCTTTTTATCCAAGAAAACTTTTATCAAGGAATCCTCAGCAAACAGTTCGCCTTTTATTTCATCTTTTGGTTTGTGTAAGTACCGTAAAATGCAACCTTTTCTTTTATAATGAAAATCCGGCTCTCCAACGGATTCTTGTTGATAATAATTGGTTTTAGGACTTAAACTATCAGGTGACATTCTTGCACTTTCTTCTAAGGGTAAGGAAACCATCGTTTTGCTGGTTTGGGTGCTGGTTTCCTTGAGCACGTCTGGATTTAAGCTTTTTTGTGCTACATTTCTGTTACCTGGTACTACCATGGGAGCCGAATCGAAGAGATTTTTAACTCTTGGATGATCCTTGATCGGTTTCAGTTTGGCATTGGTTTGCATAATTTTTGTGCGAATATTGGAGTGTGTAATATAAACATTTAAAGAAAAAACGTCAAAATAAATGTCGTGTTTTGTCAGTGATATTTTTTAGGTGGGATTTAGAATAAGTTTTTTTTTTTTTGTGTGAGGATCAGAATTTTCATGTAAACTTTATTTATATTAAAAAATTACTCAATGCTGATACAAATGCCCCATCATTTGAACTGGGGAAGCACAGACACCAATGAAAGAGGTGAGTACCTTTATGATTATATAATTATGGTGTTGGAGCTGGAGTTTTCCGCAGCAGACCGAAGATTGAATTCTCAATCAACCTTGGGATGTATGCTACTATATACCAGGCAGAAGTTTGTGCCCTTGCTCTGTGTACCAGAGAGCTAATTGATAGGTCCACCACAAACAAAAACATATACAGGGTGTTAACAAATAGTGGGATCAAACTTCTAGAATAAATAGTATCCATTAAAATAATAAAAAAATTAATAGAAACATAGGTCCGCAAATGCTTAGTTTTCGAAATACAGGGTGTCAAGGCTTGAAAAAAATCGGTTTTTCAAAATCCGCTTCCCGAATTTCTTTAAACTTTGCAGATTTGTTTGCTATAATAAAAGGTATCTTTTGACTCAATTAGATTAACCGTTATTATTCCAGTGGCACCCCAGAGGGCAATTACGTTAGTAAAAGTAGGAAAAAAATGGCATATCACTATTTTTTTATAACTTCGATGTTTTTTCTCAGTTTAAGCAAGCCATATTACAGTCAAAAGATATACCTTTTGTTATCACAATTAAACCTGCCAAATTTGAAAAAAAAAATGGAAAAGGGATGTTTCTATCAACTTTTTTATTATTTCAATAAGTACTATTTATCCTAGAAGTTTGATCCCACTATTTATTAACACCCTGTAATATATTGTGTCAGATAGCCAGGCGGCTCTAAAAGCCCTGGGTTCCTACTGGATTACCTCAAAACTGGTGAGGAACTGCATCGAGTCCCTTACATTGCTAGGCACCAATAACAGGGTAACCTTTGTAATGACCCGGGAAAATAAACCCGTAATTTACAATGTCTTTATTGTAAAAATTAAATGTAATCAAAAACTGAATTTCCAATCAGTATCAATAAATTGTAAATGAAACAAAATAACGTTGACCCCAAATTAATTAAAATATTTATATACGTTCAAAATTTTATTAGTCACCAAGCGTGATGTCATCTACTAAATCAAATCAATGACCATATTAAAAGCGAGGCCAAAGTAATTAAATCGGTGATTTTTGGCCGAGACGTCGACACGTGCGTCGGTTTTCTTTGAGTTATATGTCCAATTCTTACAACGAAATCTGTTGACCCCGATAAACCAGGAAATTGCGACATAATTATTCGATTTTGAACAAATAAAAGAGGAAGGTTATTGGGGGAACGAAACATATAAATACAGCGGTTTTAGAAGTGGAGGAGCAGTTAAGTTGTGAGTTCAGTCCAGTTTGAGTTAAATCTACAGTACCTAATGAGTCAGTCCGGTTAAAATTCGCGAAAGTTTCTTTTATTTTGTTGCCTCGGGAAAACGCGTTAAGCTTTGAAAAAGTAACGGAAAATTCTGAAAGAAATAACATTTAGTCATATTCAACATTATGTGCGAGCTCTAGAGATTTTTGAACTAAATTAATTAAGTAATTTTACGAGTGAAAAGTTAAATGTAAGTACTCTAGTGACTAGTGAAACTTTTTGACTCTATAAATGATGAATGATGAGAAGTGAAATTGACATTGAACTTTAACGCATAAAAACTTGACTGAGTCAGATTGTGACCTTAATAATTATTTTGCATAAGCAGTCAGTAAATGACTTAGGAGTTTTAAGAATTTATAGATATAGGTGAAGGGTAGTTTTAATTGGAATGTGAATCGTAAGTGTTGTTTAAAAGAGTAAATGTATAAACTTATAAGTTATTAGGAATAGAAGAAGTAGGGCGTTTTTACTATGGATATTTCCTGGTCCGTAGTAATGAAACTTGAACAGATGTGAAATAATTTGAATTGGGAAAAATAAAAGTGGCTGTCAGACATAGAAACATATTTGCTTATTTTAATTTTGGTTTTAAGTATAATAAAATATAATTTAGTAAACCTCAATAGTTTGTTTCTCTCTTTTGCGAATAGATCCCCTCCACAATTTTATAGGTAGTCGCTCAAGGAAATAAACACCATGAATATATCGCTCGCCATTTACCATCTAACTAATCAAATAGAGTACTTGGGCGCGTGTTTCTACACCTTACTCTGGGTGCCGGGGCATCAGGGGGTGGCAAGCAACGAAAAAGCCGACACCCTCGCAAAAAAGGGAGCGGAAGCCCGCTTCATAGGACCGGAACAAGGTTCTAGGCATCACAAAGTCAAATGCTAAGGATACTATTTTCAATTGGGCAAAGGGCGAGAACTGATCTTACTGGAATAGCGCTGAGGGTCTTACCCACTCTAAGGCGTTTATAAAGGAACCCTCTAGAAATTAAACAAAGCAGATCCTGGAATAGAGCAGAAAATACCTGCGCATTATCACCGGACTGCTAACTAACACTTAAACAAAGATTGGTCTATGCAGTTCTCCGGACTGCCGCTTTTGCTGCGTGGAAGACGAAACAGCAGAGCATATCCTACGTGGCTGCCAGCACTGGAGAGGAAAAGGCTGGCGATCTTCGGATACGCCCAGCTGGAGCCAAATGACTTCAGACAAGTCTTGCCGTTCACAATCATATACTTTATCAAGAGTTGTGGCTTGTACAACAAACTATCACCATCTAAAGATCGTTAGAGGTATATAGACCCAGCGAGGGTCGCAGTGGAGGGCTGGTTAATCGGCCCACTCATTTTAAACCTAACCTAACCTACTCAATGCTTTGGGTTGGGATGGTATTTTCATTGGTGAGAGAATGTAGTTGCTGGGCTGTATAGATAGAGGTAGGTAATCTTCCGTTTTACTTCTATAGAAGGATATTTTGCCTCTTCCTTAAGGAATCGGAAATGAATATTTTCAGAAGGTGTTTGTAAGAATTTATATATTTTGGTGGGTACTGGGAAACCGTTGATTGTTGATATCAAGCATATTTTTATTTCTTTTCCTGTTTCACACTGATTTTTAGGCCCCAGAATAAATAAACTATAAAACTAAAAAAAAAATAATGTATTATTAAGTTATAATTGTTATCTCATCAGGAACGCACTATTGATTGTTTGTTATCACTGCAGTAAATTTCTATTCTAGGAATAAGAACACAATCGAATTTTTATCACCTGCGTAAAGCAAATACATCTATCTAAAATACTGATTGGGTTGGGTATACTCCGTTTCAACATATACACCGTGAATGTTTGATAAAATAATAGTATATTGTGTATTTAGGTGGAAAAGTGACACGAGAATGTGCTTTTCCACCGAAATACACATACTATTTTTTCTGCGATCGGTTAAATACCTGTTAAATGTATGTCTTTTAGTTCCAATTATTCAGCAATACGAGAATCACTTTTCCGGCCTAGGCCGGAAAAGTGTTTCCCGTATTGTTATTCATTGATTCCTTGGCAACTATTGAAACATAATTGAAATACCAGAATATTGAGTTTTGCGACCTGTTAACTGGTCAAAAATGCTGACATTTCTTGTCAATCGCAGAAAAATACTATTATATAAAGTCTGTTTTTTTTTTAAAGATAAAAGTCAAAATGACATTATGTTGGCAATACAATGTAAAATTGTCAATGCTTTCAAATTTTTTATGTAGAAAGGGCTTGTGTTGCCAACATAGTTACTAAATTTTTGACTTGTGGAATTATCTTAAAAAAAAAAACAGATTTTAGATCGTTACGAGGCTTTTTTGAAATCAGAACTGAGAAAATGAATGCCAAAAATCCGTTATGAAGCTGTTCTACACTTCACGTCTTTTAAAGCGCTGTTCTGATGTGACCTCAGAACTGGGGAATGACTATCTAAAAGCCCTTTCAAGACCAACTTTAATTCAAAATTTAAACTCATAATTGAATCGTTAGGTAAGTATATAAAGCCGTTTCAATCAAAATGATCGGGTATGAACTTGAAATTAGAAAAATCAGTGTCAAAAATCCATTATGAGGCTTTTTTAATGAAAAAATAATAATTTTAACTCGTGCAGTAGGAAAAATGTTCGTTATGAGGACTTTTCAATCAAAATGATCATCAAATTTTGAGCTCAGACCTGGAAAAATGAGAGCCAAATATCGGGTATGAAGCTGTTTTTCTGACAAAAATGATTGCTTCACGTCTGACCTTACCTTAGAGAAAATGAGCCCGCATCAAGTTCTTATAAAAATCAGCTTAAAACTGGGAAAATGAGTGTCATGAGTTCAATTTCATCAGAATTTAAGCTCGTGCATAACTCAAAACGATGTTTTACTAAACATTTCTGTTCATAATTCCAAACGCCTTTTTTAAAGAGTCGTTTTGATCCAATCTGACCTAGGAAAATGAGTCAAAATCCGTGTTCAGAAATGATTGTAACAAATTCCGTCATGAATCCAATTTAAGCTCAAAACTGGAAAAATGAAAATAGATTGTAATGAGGTTTTTTTTAAACCGCGCTGATCCAATCATAATTTGAGCCTTCTGCTTCAGAAATTTCAAACAATCCGTCTGGATTGCTCTGGACAGTTTTTCGACAAAGCATTAAAATGTGAAAGAGAGCTCTTGATTAAATATGTGGGTCATTTTCAAAGTTGGTGTTCAAGATCTTTTCATATTGTTGATTTCCATTGAATCATTGTGAAATTTCGGCATGATGAGCACCTGTTCTTACTCTTACTGCTCCAAAAATTTCCAAAAATACCTCTATGCAGTTTTTCAGCAAAAGCATTAAAATGTAAAGGAGTGTTTATAATCAAATGTGTGGCTCATTTTCAAAGTTGGCGTTTAAGATTTTTTCATGTTGTTGATTTTCATGGAATCATTGTGAAGTTTCAGCATTATAAGCACCTGATCTTACTCGCTCTGATCCAAAAATTTCAAAAAATCCCTCTGGATAGTTTTTCAGGAAAGCATTAAAATGTGAGCGAGTGTTAAATGCGTGGCTCATTTTCAGAGTGGGTACTCGATCCTAGATTTTTTCGTCTTGTTGATTTTCATTGAAGTATTGTGAAATTTAAGTACCTCAGTATGTCCCAGATTCGCTTCTCTATACAGGGATCTCGACTCCTATTATACCCACAGCAAAGGTTAAATGGGGAAAGTTCTAGACAAAGCTAAGAGAATTCGATAATCGGCTCCAGATTAACGATCGCTCAATTAGATTTGGAAATATCGGCGAAAAATCGAAAATGACGGATTTCGTTTTTTGCCAGTTAACCCGAAACGGTTGATTTGACAGCTGTCAAAATGTGACATTATTCAGACACTTTTTTAAGACCATTGAGATAGCATGTATGACATGTTTCAATCGTCTTTTGTTATTCCGCAACTTGCCTCAATTTTTATTTTTATTATGGCCGCCATATTGGATTTTTCGATTTTTGGAAAAAGCATAGAATTTCCAGTCTAGTGATGTATCACAAGTGGATAAAAGATTTGAGTATCATCGAGAAATCAAATTTCGTTAAGTTGTCTGGCCAACGATTCTGAAACTAACGGGGCATCGGTAAGGGAAATCCAGTTGTAAAAAAATGGCTGTCGGCTGATTTCATTCATAAAATACCTACCCAGCTGCGTGCGGAACTTTTTGGAAGTATAATATCGTACAAGAAAATCGACAATAACCAAACCATCGCCACTGGATATTTCAAAGCAAGTCGATATTTCAAGATGTAAGGATAAAGTTACGGGAACCCTGGCCAGCCAATAGCGAGACGTAAGCCCCATGGCAACCGCATGGTTCCGTGGCAACGGCGATCGTGCCAAAAACTCCACCAATCACGTTCATCCAGACGGGATGTTTGCCAAATTGACAAAAGCTAATGGTACGTCTAGGAAATGTTTACTTTTGATAATAGACAAAATTAGATGTTTTTGTTTAGGATAAAATAATTCATAGTGTCAAAGTTGTCTATTAATAATAGTAAGTTCTCTTCCATTAAAATCATAAACCTGGAGACACAAATTGTCGAAACCTGTTGAAAATGGCCGGTATTCCTTATTCAAATGAAGAAAGGTTTGACTTGTTAGCGCTGTAATTGCAGTCACTCAGAAACGCCGACATTACCTCAGCAAGGTATTTGGAGATGTACCCCGAACGAGAGCAGCCTCATAAAACGTAATTCACAGAAATCGTAGTTAATTTAATTAACCATGTGGCCTTCGAAAAACCTAAAAGCGGATAAAATATTGATGATGAAAATCGCGACAGAAACATTTCACTAGCTGTCAACGAAAATCCTAGTGCATCAGTAAGAACTGTAGAACGTGAAATTGGTGTGCCAAAATCAACGGTACAGAGAGTAAAAAAGTTTTTTTCCAAGTTATAATGCCGTGGTCTAGTAATACTCGTTCCGTCTACTGCTGCGGTAGTCATCTTCAAAGGCGGTGTGGTAGCGGAAGAAGTGTTCTCATCCGTGTTCCTGCGATGACTGCCATCTTGAAATATCGACTTACATTGAAATATCTAATGGCGGTGTTAGTCTGTCGATTTTCGTGTACGATATACTTCCAAAAAGTTCCGCACGCACCTGGGTAGGTATTTTATGGATGAAATCAGCCGACAGCCATTTTTTTTACAACTTGATTTCCCTTACTCCGTAGCTTCATAACCGTTGGCCAGACATTAACTTTACGAAGTGTAAGTTTACGATGACACTCAAATCTTTTATCCACTTGTGACACATCACTAGACTGAAAATTCTATGCTTTTTCCAAAAATCGAAAAATTCAATATGGCGGCCATAAGAAAAATGAAAGTTGAGGCGGGTTGCGGGATAACAAAAGACGATTGAGACCTGTCATGCACGCTATCTCATTGGTCTTAAAAAAGTGTCTGAATAATGTCACAATTTCACAGCTGTCAAATTAACCATTTCGGGTTAATTGGCAAAAAACGAAATCCACTATTTTCGGTTTTTCGCCGATATTTTCAACTCTAATTGAGCGATCGTGAATCTGAAGCCGATTATCGAATGCACTTAGCTTCCTCTAGAACTTTCCCCATTTAACCTTTGCTGTGGGTATAATAGGAGTCGAGATCCCTATATAGAGAAGCGAATCTGGGACACACTGTATAGACTACCTTTATCTTGCTATTTCTGCTCCAAAAATTCCAAAAAATTCCTCAGGATAGTTTTTCAGGAAAGCATTAAAAAGTGTGCTCAAATGTGTGGCTCATTTTCAAAGTTGGGTGTTCAAGATTTTTTCATATTGCTGATTTCCATTGAATCATTGTGAAATTTCGGCATAATGAGCACCTGTTCTTACCCTTTCTGCTTCAAAAATTTCAAAAAATCCCTCTAGACAGTTTTTTAGCAAAAGCATTAAAATGTAAGGGAGTGTTCCTAATAAAATGTGTGGCTCATTTTCAAAGTTGGTGTTTAAGATTTTTTCATGTTGATTTTCATCGAATCATTGTGAAATTTCAGCATAACAAGCACCTAATCTTACTCGCTCTGATCCAAAAAATTCCTCTGGATAGTTTTTCAGGAAAGCATTAAAATGTGAGCGAGTGTTTCTGATCAAATATGTGCCTCATTTTCGAAGTGGGTGCTCGATCCTAGATTTTTCCGTGTTGTTGATTTTCATTGAATTATTGTGAAATTTTAGTATATAGAGTACCTTATCTTACTCTTTTTCTGCTCCAAAAATTTGAAAAAATTCCTCAGGACAGTTTTTCAGCAAAAGCATTAAAATGTAAGGGAGTGTTTATAATCAAATGTGTGGCTCATTTTCAACGTTAGTTTTTAAAGATTTTTTCATGTTGTCGATTTCCATTGAATCGATGTGAAATTTCAGCATAAGAAGCACCTGAGCCGTTTTCTCGCGGCCACTTTTTTGATATTGTTTCGAAACATTTTTTGAAACGGCAATGGTGTTACCATTGCCCGTTTCAAACCTGTTTTCAAAAAAGTGGACGCGAGAAACGGCTATGATCTTTACTCGTTCTGATCCAAAAAATTCAAAAAATCCCTCTGGATAGTTTTTCAGGAAAGCATTGAATGAAATGTGATTTAGTGTTTCTGATCAAATATGTGGCTCATTTTCAAAGTAGGTGCTCGATCCTTTCTGCTCCAAAAATTTCAGAAAATTCGGTTTTTCAGGAAAGCATTAAAATGTGTGGCTCATTTTCAAAGTTAATTCAAGATTTTTTCATATTATTGATTTTCATTGAATCAGAGTGTGAAATTTCAGCATTATGAGTACCTACCTGATCTTACTCTTTCTGCTCTATAAAAATTTCAAAAAATCCCTCTGGACAGTTTTTCAGGAAAACATTAAAAGGTGAGCGAGTGTTTCTGATCAAATGTGTTGACTCATTTTCAAAGTTGATGTTCAAGATTTTTTCATATTGTTGATTTTAATTAAATCATTATGATATTTCAGCATACTGAGCACATGATCTTACTCTTTCTGCTCCGAAAATTCCAAAAAATCTCTTTGGATAGTTTTTCAGGAAAGCATTGAAATGTTAGGAAGTGTTTCTTCTTAAATGTGTGGCTCATTTTCAAAGTGTTGATTAGAATACGATTGCCAAAAATCCGTTGTGATGCTTTTTTATTGAAAATTTGCCTTGACAATTGGAAAAATGAGTGGTTAACATCTATTTTGATTCGATCTGACCTATATGACAAATTTTCATCAGAATCCGTGCTTAAAATTGCATGTCTAAAATCACTCATAAGTTCAATTCAATAAAAAATAAGCTTGGAACTGAGAAAATGAACGTCACGTCCATTAGATAGGATTGAGGTATTTTAAATCAAGTTGATCTGATCATAATTTGAGTTTTAGAACTCAAATAAGAGCAGTGGTAAACATCCGCTCAGAAGAAATCAGTAATTTTCATCAAAATCCGCGCTTAGAACTGGCAAAATCCTTCATGACGTCAATTTAAGTTCAAAACTGAAAATAGATTGGCAGGTTGTTTTAATTTGATCTGATATGGGAGAAATTTTCATCAACGTCCTCATAATTTGAGTTCAGAAGTGATAAAAGGGGAGTGCTAAGTGCGAGGTTAAGTGTTCAAAATCCGCCATGAGGTTAATTTAATGCAAATTTCGGCCAAGAATTGAAAAAAAATGATGAAGCTTTTTCAAACAAGTTGATCCGATCATAATTTCAACTCAGAACAGGAAAAATGATCGACAAAAATACGTTATGAAGCTGTTTGATTTGTGCTTGGAGTTGGCAGGTAATTGTCCCAGAACCAGTCATATGAATTCAATTATTGTTTTAGTGGAGATTTGGGGCTTTTATAATGCTGATTTGATCAAAAATTGACCTCAGAACTAAGAAAATTAGTACCTACCTACGCCATCGAGTTTTTTTAAATCAAAATTTGAGCTTAGAAGCTAAAAAATGTTTATGAGGTCCTCCTTGAGCGGTAATTATTTGTTATTGAATTGTAATTGGAAAACTTTGAATGTTACTTTTATTTGGTACTCCTTCATGCTACAGTACCTATCTTACCTGATACCTGATCTACTATCAAAAATGATCCACCGAATAGTAGGGCAACAGAGATGTATGAAAACGAATGGTATTTTTTGCCAAGATTAGCAATAATTGAGTCTAATTGCAATCAACAGGTCAATACTTTATATCTTGAAACTCTCTTCTGTTCCTTCCTTTATCAGTCGTGAAACCAAGTATTGATATACCTACCTAGAACTTTGCAGTAAAAAGCAGCTGCTTCTTTTACGTTTCTGGTGTCATAAAGCAAAGTTACTCTTTGTTAGTAAGAACTGTAAGAAGTCACATCAAATTGGAAAATTCGCCGTTTCATAAATCATAAACCGTTTGCTCGAAGTTAAGTCAACAATATATTGAAACGTTCTATACCTGCTGGGTAGTACCTATTTACCTGAGCAACTAAAAGATGCCGCTAAACGTTTGTTTTCAAAGTCGTACCGGGCCGCGCATTCACTATACAACAATTAAAATTAGAAAGACCAGCCAGCAGAACGATCAAAGCCACAGCAAGATTCTCTCCTCCGTCTCAGTAGATTTCAGGTTTTCAGGTCTGCGTTTTTCGTCATCAGCTGGTTTTAGTAGTCCTTTTAGATTAGCGTAGTTCGATTCGCGTTTTTCTTTGTTTAGACCTTTATTTAATTTATGCATAAAAATAATGTTTGTGACGTGCCAATTTTTGTTAAATAATATCGAACAACCTTATCTGTAAATATGTGACAGTGTCGGTTAGTGAATTTAGAAAATGTGATTTTTTTCTGTTTTTAAAATTTAATTCAAAATGGGATTTTCGACAAATTTACAAGGCAAAATTGCCCACGAGGCCCTCGTGTCGCGACAAGATGCCGAATTGAGACTTTTAGAGGCGATGAAAAGGTGTATCAATACGAGACTCAAGTGCGATAGGGATTATGCGACAGCTCTCAGTACTTTAGCTTCTCAGGGATTGAAAATTGACCGCGGCGATGACTTAGTTGGTACGTACTCATTGATCTTTTAGTCAGGTTCATTCATTCACACTACTTTGAAGACTTGAACTTTGAAAACTAATTTGGTGGATCTTTTCGTGTTTTCATAAAAATTAAATTGTGTCTGTCTGCAAGTGCATTTCAATTTATACCTATATACAGGGGCGGCTTCTCAATAAGTGCGCTCGTGCGCGCGCACTGCCTCCAAAAACCAAGCAAGAAAATAAAATTAAAATTTTGGAAAGAAAAGAAACTTCAATTAAAAAATACCTACCCAATTTTCTAAATTAGGATAAATATCTACTCATTTTTTTATTTTTAAATTCGCACGAACGGAACGAAAGCGCGCCCTGCGCCTGTCTTGTGTATTCTTTTCTCCCGCTTGGTTGTGCTGGTGGTCGGTGTGGAATCGTTCGGCGCTCTGGGTAAATGTGTTTTCTCGCTGTGTGATTGATCGGGAATATACGGTAAGTAGCCCGCTGAAAGGGATGCGCCGTGCGCTATTTGAATACACACTTCCAATGTTGTTTCCACTCAATCGAGAATATTTCGATGTTTTTTCACCATTTTGGCGGTTTGACAACTCTGTTTCGCGGTTTTTTTTTTTAATTATAAATTTCAATATCAATTATGTATTATGGCTAGAATACAAACATTCAAGCCTCATTTAAATACATATATTTTTGTTTTCGATAATTTTTCCTAAAGTAAAGATAAAAAAATTCAACATACAAAATAACTGTAAAACAGGACGTAGCACCTCCAAAAAATTTTCCAAGAGCGCACAACCACACTAGGTTGCCACTGGCCGCCACTGCCTATATACAAAATTTGGTTTATGTTTTATACAAAATTTTACTTGATCCTAGTTGTATTTTAGTTTCCCTCCAAACTAATTGAATAATTTGAAAAAAAAAAAACTATTGGCGCAAACAAAGATTATCAAATATTTTTTCAATTGAAATAATTGGTTTCCTATGAATTCAGTAGCGGTGAGTATATTTTTTAGTGTAGCGCCAGTCTTTGAAAAGATATAACATCCTCCCCCGTAGTTACGCTACTGGGGTCTCGAATAGAAAAATAATGAGATCCAATCAGCAATATAATAATCTACGAATGAAAAACAAACAAATGTTTTGTTAATTTTAATTATCTATTTCTGATTTTGTTACTTTCAAATTTCGTCTATTCCAGGCTCTTGAATTTTTGTTATCCTCTAAATTTTTCCAAGTAAAAAGATCAAGGAAACCCATGAGTTTAAATTCTGAAATAGTATAAATCCACTCTTTTTTAATTTTTCTTTAATTTACTTGCCGTTTCTCAATTTTTGTCTATGTGGCTCTTGAATTTTCAATTTTGTTTATACTTAAGCCTTGTACTCATAACTGCGAAATTCGCATTTTTTTGACATTGCTTCGACAATTTGACGTTTTATGCGTGAATCAAACGTCAAATTGTCGAAGCAATGTCAAAAAAATGCGAATTTCGCAGTTATGAGTACTACTAGACTTTAGACAGAGAAAGCTCTTTCTCAATTTTTTTCTATTCCCGGTTCAAAAATTTCTCTATACTCACAGAGAAAGTTCAAGCGCCTGGAATAGAAAAAATATGAGTCTAGAACATTTTTTCTCAAGTATAAATCAACTCTTTCTCAATTCTCCTTAAATTTGTCTTTCCCTTTCTCAATTTTTATCTATTTCCCAGCAGGGCCGGATTAACCATAAGGCGGAATTGGGCGATCGCCCAGTGGCGAAAAGTGAAAGGGGGCGAAAAATTTCGAAAAATCCTTAAGAAAAATAAGAGGAAGAAAAATCAGAAAAGCAGACAACAAAATGACATAAACTCGACTTCCTACACAAAATAGTTTACCTACAACTAAAAATTTTCCGAGATTCAAGTTTTTTCAAACATAAAACCCTTATTCAAGGAAAAACAGCCCAATCCGGCAACATGAGAGGATGTGTAACCTAATCAAGGATAATACACACTACTACTACAGGATAGCCTATCCACATGTAGAACAAATCTGAAGCCCTCTACCACGCCAAATCACCAGTTGTGACGTAGGCAGCATGTCGTTTCTCGCCTTTACGTAGGCAGTTTACACCACAGGTTATGATCCCGCGGGCTTTTGCTTCCTCTTTGCCTATCATGGTAATCAAAATTAAATGATATTTTTTTTCTACCGTGCGTAAAGTACTCACTTTACGCACTATTCAGAAGACGTAAAATTTATCTTCACACACTAGTGCGTAAAGTAATTCACTTCACACACTAGTGCGTAAAGTAACGTCAATAACAGATGTCAACACTGTCAAATTACTATTTTTCTGGTAAATTACTTCACGCACTAGTGCGTAAAGTGAGAATACTTTACGCACTAGTGCGTGAAGAATTTGTCTAAATTTATTTTTTTACACATATTTGATTGGTAGTAGAAAAAAATTTGTATGCAATACGTGTGTAAAGTGAACCTTTTTTCACGAATATGAATTTTGACGCACGAGCCGAAGGCGAGTGCGACAATCACATTAGTTGCATAAATAACTATTTTCATCATAAATTTAAATCCTAAACTATTCTCTGTCCAACCAACCTATGGAGTGACAAACAACACCTTCAAAAAGGTTCGTTACTATTGGCGTTGATTCTATTGGTCATTTATAAGCCGACTTTACACTGTAGAGTGATGTTTTTTAAGATTTTGAAATAAATAAATGTCATAAATCAGTGTTCAGTGTAAACTTGGCCGCCATTTTAACTCCGTCATACTCCGTAGGTTCGTTGGACAGAGTTTAAGACCACTGGCGCAAATAGCTAACGACTTAGTTGATGACATCGGCAATGGTGATACACCAATATGGCCGCAGATTTATATCATTGAAACCAACAAAAAAATGTGAAGGTGCATGACAATTTCTTTTAAATGTTTAACTTTAGTTTAAAACTAGGCTAGGTACCTACAGTTTTCTTCTATTAGTAACTCTGACAAATAATACATTCTTTCTTGTATTTCATAAACTAAGTATTTGTTTTACATACTAAAGTATCTTCAAATTAAAAAATAAAAAATTAGCCGTAAACTGAGTATTTGTCTTATTTATATTAAAAAATAATCTTCAAATGGAAAAAAAAATGAAATGATATAAGTCAGAGCCTGGAAGGGGGCGACATGATTTTAATCGCACAGGGGCGACAAAAGGCTTAATCCGCCCCTGTTTCCCAGCTCTTGAATTTTTTCAAATTTCTCTATACTTACAGAGAAAGTTCAAAGCACCTGGAATAGAAAAAATATGTGTCTAAAACATTTTTTCTCAAGTAAGTATAAGTAAATCAACTCTTTCTCAATTTTCCTTTCCGTTTATCAATTTTTGTCTATTCCCGGATAGGGAATTTCTCGGGGAATTTTTTCGAATTTCTCTATACTTACTAGTGATGTAAAATTTCCGAAACATTCAAAAGCCGCGAACATTCTCGGAAACTTTCCGGGAATATTGGAAACTTTCGGGAACTTACGGAAATACCATCTTTCGAAACACCATCCAGTGGAATATCGTTCACTTTACACACTTGTTGCATAAATAACTATTATGGACGATTGAATAAGGCTTTAAAGGAAAAGCTGATCCGATCAACCCAATCTCTCAGCTCTTTATTTTTTATCTTTCTTCAATGAAGATTATTTTAAAAAAAAGACAAACTGTAGGTACATCAGCTGGTGATCGGGTAAATCGGATCAGCGTTTCCGTAAAGACAGTTGGACTGGGCTGTCATCCACATAAATTGAAATGACATCACTGAGACCTTGTATTCAGAATAATCTCGCATTTTTATAAAATTCTTCTGGAAAGTTCTTGGAAGTATTCTCGAAAGTTCTCGGAAATATTCTTTTGAGAGTTTTTGATTGAAAGTTTCCGGGAATATTCTCATTCAGGATAACGTTTCCATTTTTTATCGGCGAATATTCTCGGAAATTTCCCAATGTTCGCGAATATTCGCATGGGAATATTCTCGACTCACATCACTAATACTTACAGAGAAAGTACAAGCGCCTGGAATAGAAAAAATATGTGTGTAAAACATTTTTTCTTAAATATAAATCAACTCTTTCTCAATTTTCCTTAAATTTTCCCTTCCGTTTCACATTTTTTTTTTAATCCCTAGCTCTTGAATTTTTTCAAATTTCTCTATCACAGAGAAAGTTCAAGCGCCTGGAATAGAAAATGTACCTATGTCCCGAAAACATTTTTTCTCAAGTATAAATCAACTCTTCCTCAATTTTTCTTAATTTTTTCTTTCTGTTTCTCAGTTTTTGTCTATTCCCGGCTGTTAAAAACTACTTATTCACGGTTGCCAAAAAATATGGGATCCAAGAAGATTTACCCGTTAAACGAATAAAATCACCACCAAAAATTAACTCAAAAAGCATCTATTGGATAATATAAAATACACTTATGATGGGTTCTTCACAATGAATATAAATTCTCTACCGCGCACGCTAAAAATAAGGCATTGACAATCTATGAAAAAAAAAAAAAATATATTGTTTCTCTTCGAACATAAGATAATACATTCATTCTTACTCGATGTTCAACTGATTAATGATACTAATTCTACACGCCCCGTGGATAATAATCGGAATCCACGGCCTATCGACCAATCAAATTCTCCGTATTTTCGGAATACACGGACCGCAACGAGTCAATACAAACAAAACATGACTGACGTTTACTGTCAGATCACGAAACTTTCAATTTAAAAAAATTAAGGCGGGTTTAGACTTTGATAATCGTAATTTTTTACAAAAACTAATGATTTTCTTTCAAAAAGTTCGAAGAGAAAGTATAGTCTTCTACTCGCAAATAATGGCTATTATTCAGGAGAATGAAAATTCAAACACGAGCCGAAGGCGAGTGTTGGAATCATTCATTCTCGGTGAAGAATATACTATTTTGACATTATAGGTATAGGAAGAATCATAGAGGGTAGATACAAAAATTCATATCTCA